CAGGACAAGAAGTAACGGATGGAAACGCATTAGAGGGAGACCCAACCTAGAATTAAGGAGAAACTTCCTGAGTGAGAGTAATTCACCAGTGGAACAGCTCCCCTCCCAAAGTTGTGGGTCATCACAAGAAAAGATTGGACAGCCTTTGTTAGAATACAATAAGGTCTCCTACCATGGGGGGGGTGTGTGTGTTTGGATTAGAAGATCTCCAGGATCCCTTCCAACCCTATGATTCTAAGATTCTTCCTTTCTCTGATGTGCTGTGTGAATCTGTGCGTGCTTTTCAATGAACATTTTAATTGTGAGAAGATTTAATCTGCTTAGTCCCTTGCATAAGATTGTGCATCTGATAATAACTTCTTAATCAGAGTAAATGCTTCATTATACCTGCCCATTATGCAAGAGCATGCAGATCACCAGAAAGTGAGAGTGAAATTGCAGAAGAGGAGAGAGATTTTATCCAGCCTGGAGTGTGGGGGTGAACATGTTTTCTCAGGAGTAGCAAAGGCAGAAGAAATAATGAAAATCAGCAGCCAGAAATTTAGAAGCAGCACTTCCCATTCATTTGTGTGACTTGAACGGAACGAACCAAAGCAAATTAGCTGCTTTTAAACTATCTTTAAATCAATACAAATTGGTTGTGCAACAAAATTAAGCCCCAGCCTAGCTAATCAGGTAGCATGTAATAAACAGGAAAACATGTACTTGGTAGCCAATTAAATTCTGTTTCAGGATTGTGCAGGGGACACACACACACACACACACACACACACACACACACACACACGTGGCAGCACACCTTTAAAATCTCGGCATTTGGGAGGCGGCTGCCTTCAGCCAGCTCCCCCTACAAGCAAAGAGTTTGTTCCAGGTCACGGCCCATAATCCTCAGCCTCAAAGGCTTTGCAAAGGCGTGCCTGGGCTTGTAGGCAGTTCGCTTGAGGAGGGGGTAAGAATGGGCAGAGCACAGATAAGGCTGGCAATTAAAGCAGCTATTTGTGGTCTGTTGACAGCAGCGCCAACACAGAAGGCTGGCAGGGAGCCACAACGTAGTGTTCCTGGTTTGGAGCTTGACTGCAGATGTGTGCGTGCCCAGCAAAGCTCTTACTGCACTGCCCGACTTCTGCATATTGTCCGATATTTGTTTAGTGCAGGGAGAGGAAACAAAACTGATTGGAGGGGAAGGGTATTTTACTGCAAAACTTTAGAGAGTAGTCTTGGGAGCCTGCAAGAAAAGTCATTATTTTTTTAATGTTTTCTTTAATGAAGAGAAGGACGAGGGAGGACAGGATAGCAGTCTTCCAATATCTCAGGGGCTGCCCCAAAGAAGAGGGAGTCAAGCTATTCTCCAAGGCGCCTGAAGGCAGGACAAGAAGCAACGGATGGAAACTGATGAAGGAGAGAAGCAACCTAGAACTAAGGAGAAACTTCCTGACAGTTAGAACAATTAACCAGTGGAACAACCTGCCTCCGGAAGTGGTGAATGCTCCAACACTGGAAGGTTTTAAGAAGAGACTGGACAGCCATTTGTCTGAAATGGTATAGGGTTTCTTGCCTGAGCAGGGGGTTGGACTAGATGACCTCCAAGGTCCCTTCCGACTCTATCATTCTCTTATTCTGTTCATGTGTGTGTTGTTTTTTAATACTTGTATTTTATGGTTGCCTTTGGCAATGCTACATAAACTCTTTAAATGTACCAATTTCTGTAGAACTCAGATCAGCCTATTGAGGCAAGCTCTGATTGTACATAGTTTGCAGACCTGAACTTTTATCAAAGCAGGTACAAAATGGAGCCATGAACCCAAATCACAGGACCAGGATTAGGAGGAATACATCGTTGAGCTTTTAAATGAACAAGAAAAAAGCATTTTTTCCACAAAGAATAGAATAGAATAGAATAGAATAGAATAGAATAGAATAGAATAGAATAGAATAGAATAGAAGGCTGAGTCAACCCTGAGCCAGTCAGGATCGAACTGCTGGCAGTGAGCAGTGAGTTAGCCTGCAATGCTGCATTTTAACCAATGCACCATCACAGAGAGAGCAAAAATGAGCCCTTCCTCATCAGAAGGTGCACTGAGGTTCTCTGGATGAAAAGCCACGGATCACGATGGACATAACAAGAGAGCTTCACACTGTGGGATCAATCAAGGTTAATTTCCTCCACAGCACCAACAGCTCTCCTGCAGCCCACCTCAAACATGCTGATGGGCCTGGCAACCCGATACCGCGATGCTTGTTCGGTTCACATTCAGACTGCCTCAGCTGCTCCATCACATTGCTCACAACATGGCAGTGGGCTTCCCCCTGGGTTGCTCTCGAGTGTAACATCACATTACACAGCAAGGGTAGAAATGGAAGCGTGGATTTACTTTTCGAAGCAAATTGGATCGCAGGCATTTAGTGTGAGCATCTGGTGTGCTTTTAGCTAAATGTTTGTTTATTCAGAATCAGGATTTGGGGAAGAAGAGGAGCGAGGGGCTTCTAGAGATTTTTTGCATATTCTTCTAACAAACAAATAGTGCCTCCAAGAAAGCTCAACTCTTTGTAATTTCATCCATATGTCCAAATTATTTTCTTGGTACAAAAGATATGAAAGTGGTTGCCATTGTTCACCTTCCTTAGGGAGGTATAACAATAGCACTTAGACTCATATAACACTTCACAGTGCTTCGCTGCCCTCTCTAAGCGGTTTACAGAGTCAGTTTTTTGCCCCGAACAATCTGGGTCCTCATTTTACCCACCTCAGAAGGAGGGAAGGCTGAGTCAACCTTGAGCCAGTCAGGATTGAACTGCCAAACTGCTGGCAGCCGGCAGTCAGCAAAAGTATCCTGCAGTACTGCATTCTAACCACTGCGCCAGCACAGCTCTATTTTGGATATCTCAGTGTAGCCCACACTTTGAATATCTGCTGATCTCCAATGTTGGAGCAGCCCCCAATTCTGGGAGGCAAGCCGTTCCACTGATTAATTGTTCTCACGGTCAGGAAATTCCTTCTTAGTTCTAGTTTAGATCTCTCTTTGATAATCTTCCATCCGTTACTTCTTGTCCTGCCTTCAAGTGCTCTGGAGAATAATATGACCCTATTTATTTTTCTGAGATCATCCAAGGTCAGCAGGCACTGAGAGCAAGCTGCAAGGGAATACTTCCCCTACGTTTCAGGCTTTATGGACCGGCGGGGGGGGGGATGGTTCTGCACACGCATGCAGCTCCACTGCTTGCACATGTAAGGATGTGTGTGTGCACTCCCCAGCAGTTTCCACGGCCCGGTTGCAATCCCCTCACAGCCCACTAGTGGGCTGCAGCCCACAGGTTGGGGACCCCTGTCTTAAAACTTTTCTAAAGCATACTTTAAAAAAAAACTTTAGATTCTGAGTAATTGTGCTTTGCCAGCAGACAGAGATGAATGAATGAACAGACAGCTTGTAACTGTTATTATAGGTAATTGTCTTATTGTACTCTGACTTGCTCTGTTGCTCCAACAGATCTTGTTTGAAGAGTTCCTAGTTTGAAGCAGTTAATAAATATCTTATGTAAATAAATATTTTCTCTCGACTGAGCAAGGCCAAATATAAGGAAGTCCAGTTGCCTTCTGAAAAAGCTCCTTTGGGACAACCATGAGCTGGATGACGGAAAATCTCCCTAGACATTTAAGGTAGGGGTTTTTTTGGTTTTTTCCTTGAAAACGTTTCACTTTGCATCCAAGAAGCCTCTTCAGTTCTTCAGAAAAGGAAGAAAGTCCAGTTACCTTTGGAAAAGCATCTTTGGGACAACCTGGATGATTAAGCATCTCCATAGACTTTGGGAAAGGAGCTAGCTATCCCTAGCTGTGGGATCAACAGTGATCTAAGCAGGTGCTGAGTGCCATCTAGTGGTTAGAAGAAGGACTTTCTTTGAAGCTGGAAGCATGCTGCCATCCTAAGCATACAATGATGAATCACAGAATCCTAAAACTGGAGGGGACCTTGGAGGTCCTCTATCCCAACCCACTGCTTGACGCAGGGATCTTAATATTATTCTGAACAAAGACTGGCTGTCCAATTATTTTGTGAAAGCCTTCAGGGATGGAGCATTCATGCCTTCAGGGGACGGGCTGCCCCACTGCTTAAGAGCTCTCACTGAGAGATGGATATGAACGCACAGAAGCAGGAGGTTGACAGGGTTTGGGTCCCCAGTATCGCTTGTATCCCAAGAATATCCGTCAGTTCCCTCAAATGTCTTAAAGGTGGAACAGCATCTACTGTACCTGAGCATAAATAGAGGAAAGTAGGTGTCAGGTGTGCCACTGTAAACGCCTCGGCCTGTTCATTTGACTGGCAGCCTGCCATAAAACGTGGGAGAGGAGAGGACGGGAAGGGGCAAGGATGACAGGATGACAGGTGCCGGAGGCGCCAATCCTGAACAGAGCAGCACATCCAAGGACACGAGCATGAGAACAAACCTCAAATCTATTACCAAAACACCAAATAATTCAAATATTATTGGGCACTCATGAACTAGTCAAGGGGGAAGGGCCCGGGAAATGGGGAAAAGGCAGATTTTGAGCAGGAATACTCAGATCCAGCTTCGCCTACGCTACAGCCACTTGGCTTTAGTAAAAGTATACCTTTTGCTACAAATGGAGTCAAGGGTCTTTCTTTCCTAAATGCCCAAGATGGGACAAGCCTGACAGTAGTAGGTGTGGAATAAAGGCTAGATCAGCTCCCTGATCCATTGCTGCCCAGCTCGGTGGTTTTCTGTGCCACTGAACTGAGCTCAGGTGATGCAATCACACTTGACAGCTGCTTCAAACTGGGACAAGACGTTTCTGCCCACGAGCCATTCTCCTCTGCAACAGACCAAAGAAAACCCACGTGATTCAGTCCTGTTGCGGCTGGAATCCTTTGCGGGAATGGGAGGCTTTATTGGCAAGGGTGGGAGATAAACCTAATCCTCTGGAGGTGTGTGAAAAGAACAGGATCCTGGGAGTAGACAGTGGAGGTAAAGGGAGCACTTAAGAGGTGAACCTCAATGGAGGAGAAGACATCTGGGACACGTAAGATGGGGGAGGGGAGGCAAGCAAGAACAGGTGCAGTGCAGCAAAGGTTCCACCCAGCGAGGGAGTGCCAGAAATCTTCAGCTGTCCTGCTGCAGTCCAGGTTCCTCACAAAAATAGATTCCCCTGAAATAAGCAGTGTGTCAGGTCTGCCTTCTTCAGCTTCTTCACTTCACTGGCATCCTGCCATGAATTGCAAGGGAGGGGGAGGAATTGGGGGCAGTAAGTGTGGGCCTGGGAGTGAGAAGACAAACAGCAGGAGGGGAGACACGTGGAGGAGAACGAGAGGTGCCAAACCGGAATAAAATAGCCTCCAAGGACACCTGGCCAGGGAACCGAATGCGAAACTGCAATGAGAAGTGCCAAACATCCCAGCCGTTTCCAAAACTCCTAAAGGTCTCCTGTTGGACACTGATGGACCAGTCAAGGAGGGGAGGGCCAGAGAAAGTGGGGAAAGTGTAACCTTTGCACGGGGCTATTCAGATCTAGCTTTACTTTTGCTGCAACCACGAGAGAGAGAGAGAGAGAGAGAGAGAGAGAGAGAGAGAGAGAGAGAGAGAGAGAGAGAGAGAGAGAGAGAGAGGGAGGAGGGAGGGAGGGAGGGAGGGAGGGAGGGAGGGAGGGAGGGAGGGAGGGGAGAAAGAGATCCCTTCCAACCTTGCTTCTCTACTCTTTTACTTCACTTCCCCCAAAACCTTTTCTGGAACTCCGCATGTACGGAAAAAGTTCCATCCCTCTTCTAGAAGGAGGCTGGACTCTGCTGTGCATTGAGGAAGCGCCAAGAACGCCCAGGCGCTTCTGTGAATGGGTCTCCTTCTTTCGCCAATGAATGCCCTGGGCAGTCTTCCCATTTGGGGGGGGGGTTTGCCTTCCCATAAGAGAAAGGACTCCCAGGCTCCTTGAGACTCGGAGGAGGCCTCCTGGACCCTCCTCTGGGGTAGAGTGAAAGTCTTGGAAATGCTAAGAGGACATCCCAGGCTCAAGGAGCCTCCTTTTTTCACGAATGCCTCAAAGGGGAGCCTCCTGGAATGACCTGAACAGCTTCACAGGAGGTTCTCGGCGCCTGGGCTGAGTTGCCGGCTGTCACTTTGCTTGTTTAGGTCTCTGCTCCCTTCCGTGTCTGCCAGCCTCCCCACATCAGCACTGACTTGGCTGTCTGCCTCTGCCTTGGGGCCAAAGCCACTCTCTTCCTGCACCCATTGACACACACACACACACACACACACACACACACACACACACACACAGAGAGAGAGACACCCCTTCAGGGGAGCCGACACCATCCTCCTGAAGGGCCACCACAGCCCTTCCTCTTAGTCCATTCCTGGCACCTTTCCTGGGACTTGGGGGGGGGGGGCTTTCCAGCTGCGGTCTCTGCTCCATCCGACCAGCAAAGCAGAGGGAGGGGCCATTTGCAAAAAACACCTTCTTTGCTAGGCTGCTGACCCAGCTCCAGCCCCGTCCAGGGAGCGGCTGCCCAGCAGAGGCGCCCCCGCCCCCCGCGCGGGGCGAGCCCGGCCGAGGGGATAAAAGGCAGCCGGGCGGGCGGGCGGACGGGACGGAGAGGAGCCTTGTCGGGGGGGCCGCCGGAGAGACCCCCAGCCAGGTGGTCCCCTCGCCCCCCTCCAGGCGTCTTTCCCGCCTCCTCTGCCCGTCCTTTGGGGAGGAGAGGGAGGGAGGGGGCGGGCAGCTGCATCAGAAGCTTGGGGGGCCATCACGGTTAGCCCCCCCTCCCCAGCCCCCGCCTGGCCTCGCCGGCTGCCCCCCTTCCTCTCCCCGAAGCCAGCCCACCGACCCCGCTGCTGCAGCAGGGGCAGACTTTGCCCCCCTGGCCAGGCGGGCAGCAGCTCCCCCGGGAAGTGGGGAGGCTGGTCAGGAGACCCCTGGGGAGGCTGACAGGGAGGGGTCCCTGCTGCAGGGGAACGGGGGGAGCAGTTTCCAGACCCCCACACAGAGCTCATTGGCCCAGGAGGTTGGTTGGGAGTCTATTGGAGGGCACCCGTGTCAGCCCCCCTCCCCAGCACCTGTCGGATTGCCAAGAGCTTTGAAGAAAAACTCCACACCCTGTTAAGACAGGGGCTCCATTTGCGGGATGGGCCAGGAAGGAAAAGGGTGGAGACGGTCCGGCTCTCTTCTGCCACAGAAGGACTTCTTCTCCAATGACCAGAATTGACCGTCCAGCTTCTTCTCCTTCTTAGCTAAGAGAAGAAGAGGACTCTGCAGGAAGCCCTTCCCCTTCTCCCACCTCTTGGAGAGCAGAAGATGTTACCCAGGTTAGCCGCTCTCGTGATGGTCCTGGGGATCCTTCCTCTGCCCCTTAGCGGCACCCAGGTAAGAGGACACAGAAAGGGCTTGGGGGGAGATGATGTCCAGCAGGTCCCAGGGGCGTGGGGAGCTGGGGAGACAAGGGCCAGCTGTTCCTGGTGGGGGTGGCCTGGAGCCAAAAGCCAAGGATGTCATCATCATGCAATATTTAGACATCGTTCCCCAAAAGTTTCCTTTGGCAACTCACAATCATCTGTGGTCATCGTCTAAAATGTACATCTCCAAATTGCCTCTCCCAGTAAGTTGGGAAATACAGCTCCCATAATTCCTTGTAACAACAGGGTCCACAGGAGAGGGGGGGGGTCAGAAAAGTCAAGATGGCAACTGCAGAATCGGGAGTTCAAGTCCCGCCTTACGCATGAAAACCAGCTGGATGACTTTGGGCCAGTCACCCTCAGCCCCACCCACCTCGCAGGGCTGTGGTTGTGATGGGGAAACTAGGAGGAGGAGAGTATGTTGGCTATGTTCCTCACCTTGAATTATTTGTAAAATACAGGTACTCCTTGACTTACCACCATAACTGAGCCCAAATCTTCTGCTGCTAAGTGAAACTTTGTTTAGTGAAATTTGCCTCATTTTAAGACCTTTCTTGCAACAGTTGTTAAGTGAATCACTGCAGTTGATAAGTTAGTCACACGGTTGTTAAGTGAATCTGGCTTGACTTTGCCTGTCAGGAGGTCGCAAAAGGGGATCACGTGGCCCCAAGGCACTGCGACCGTCATAAATCGGAACTAGTTGTGCCAAGCACCTGAATTTTGATCACATGACCACGGGGGTGCTGCAATGGTCGTAGGTGTGAAAAACAATCGTAAGTCACTTTTTTCAGTGGAGTGGTAACTTCAAACGGTCACTAAATGAAGTCAATGTTGTAAGTCAAGGACCACCTGTAATAAAGACAGGATTTCAGTAGATACTCAGATCCTTTGTAGCCCCAAGGACAAGTTGGGCTTTCCACTCCCGAGCCATCCTCGTGGATTGGGTGCTGAGCCTTAGGAGATGCCAGCCGGAAGAAAGTTCCTTTCAGCTGATCTGTTTTCTGGGGGGCAGACCCAGCCGAGGGGAGCCCCTTCCCAACCGGCTTCGCTCTCCTCCTCTGCCTAGAACTGTCTGAGCAAACAGCACGTCGCAGCCGCCATTCAACAGATGCAGAAGCTGCTCGCGGCTCACGAGGCGGCCCAGATGCGCAGCCTGCGCAGCCTGAAGAAGCAGCTCGCGCTCCTGCCAGACAGTGCCCACAAGCCGCCGGCCAAGCGGAACGGTAAAAGGACAGCAAACCAAGAGGGCCAAAAAAGTCAAGATGGCGTCCGTCACCTAGGTTACAGACGCCATCTTGCTTCTTTTGACCCCCATCACCTCCACGGACTCCTGTGGAATGAAAGACTGCAGAATCCAGGGAACAGGGTGTTGAGTTGATTTCATTGGAATAAACATGAATAATTTTTAATTATTATTTTTTTTCAACCATTCTGACATCTATCTCACCTTGGTAGGTGGGTTGTTTCAAGGCTGAATTTGAACCCAGATCTGCCTTGTAGAAGTCCAGTAGACTTGTTGTGGATTATCTGCCATCAGGCTCCTTCCAAATCTGAAAGGGTAAAATAGAAAGGTCTTTGCTGATTATTTAACCCACGTTATTCCTGGGAATTAACGAAAGGTTACAGTCTAAAAGACATGTCACAAAAGGAAAAGGGGAAGGGAGGACGAAGGAAAATGAGAGCCAGTTCTGGAGATGGCAGAGTTCTTCCAAAGATCCTGTTGGTTACAAGTGCCGCAAGAAATTAGCAATGGGGTCTGGCCCTTTGCCTTGGGATTTCTCAGGTCTGTCTTCAGCTGAATGACCAGGAAAGTTGCTTCTGATTCAACCAGGGATTGTTTGAGGAACAAAGACGTGTCTCTACCTTGTTTCTTCTTCTGTCTCACTCCCCGCAGAGAGCTGCACCCTCCCTCCTGCACCCACCAACGGCAGGAGGCTGGGCAAAGGGACAGCCGTGGGGAACGAGGTCTTTTTCGTCTGCAACCCTGGCTTTGCACTGACCGGCTCCGAGACACGGGTCTGCCTGGAGAACAGGATGTGGAGTGGACGGACGGCCTTCTGCAAACGTGGGTGGAAGGAGAGGGCTCCTGCCATCGGGGCTTTTAAGCAGTCTCACCTCCCAGATGCGGCCACACAATTGAGCCCTGAATTTAGGTTGCTAAGTGAGACATAGGTTGAGTGAGTTTTGCCCCACTTGATGACTTTTCTTGCCCCAGTTGTTAAGTGAATCACTGCAGATGTTAAATTAGTAACCGAGTTGTTACATGGACTTTGCTTGACAGAAGCTTGCAAAAGGGGATCACATGACTCTGGGACACTGCGACCGTCATAAATATGAGTTAGTTTGCCAAGCTCTCGAATTTTGATCACGTGACCCTGAGGAGGCTGCAAACGGTCATAGGGGTGGAAAATGGTCCTAAGTCCCTTTTTTTCCAGTGCTGTTGTAACTTCAAACGGTCACTAAATGGACTAGCTGTCTAAAGCCTTTGTCCCTGCTTTTGGGGAGCTGAGTTGCTTCAAAATACATTTTATGATTCGTGCAGTTTATTTTATTTATCTGTTTGCCTTTTATACCACATCCACTCCTTGGTATCCTTGCTTTTTTCAGAGGGGGCCTAATTCTGTCCGAACTTGGGTCCTGCCAAGGGAGGAGAGGGCTGCGTCTCAACTCTTGGCAACCAGAAGCATCTCCTCTTTCTTTCATTCCCCATCCAGGCACCAGCGAGTGTGCCAGTCAGCCCTGTGCCAACGGAGGGACCTGCCTGGATGCTGTTCACCGCTACAGCTGCTTGTGCCCCACTGGCTGGTCGGGGAACAACTGCCAGGCCCCCCTTCATTCCTGTAAGTGAGAGAGAGGCCTGAGGTCCAAGAAGCAGGATTGGCCCTCTGCTCCTTTCTTCCCTTGAGGGGTAGGAGGAGGGGGGGAGGGAGGGCAAGGGAGCTGTGGGGACACTCTCTGGGCAGGACCTGGAGGTGGGGGCTCCCAACCCTAGAGCAAAATTCTGACCCCCGGCATCAGACCTGCTTTGACAGTCAGTGTTTAGAATAGATCAGAGCTGGAAGGGACCTTGGAGGTCTTCTAGTCCAGCCCCCTGCTCAAGCAGGAGACCCTATACCATTTCAGACAAGTGACTAGTCTCTTCTTAAAAACCTCTAGGGATGGAGCGTCCATGATTTCTGGAGGCAAGCTGTTCCACTGGTTAATTATCCTCACTGTCAGGAAGTTTCTCCTTAATTCCAGGTTGCTTCTCTCCTTGGTCAGTTTTCAACCATTGTTTCTTGTTCTGCCCTTTGGTGCTTTGGAGAATAGTTTGACCCCCTCTTCTTTGTGGCAGCCCCTCAAACCTTTAATTGCCTTTAATCGTTGTTAAGTCTAGGACTACCTGTAGTCATTAAATAACTGGTCGTAAGTGGAGGACTACTAATGGAAGGTGTAAAAAGCCAGCAGAGGTCCCACCTCTTCCCCACCCTCTGTTCTGCTGATTTGTCACTATAAAGTCCACCCTAACAATGACCTCTTGACCACAGACAGGGCAGCTGTGAGCAACGCAACTGTCAGTCATCCACCCCGCTGTGTTGAAAATCATGGGGGCTCCCGCCAATGCAGCTGCGATGCTGGCTTCCAGTTGACAAGGGGAGGCATGTGTCAAGGTAAGGGGGGGGGCCTGCTGGTAACCATATACCCCACTTGGTAGCACTTGCCGCTCCCAGAATGCTACCATTCCTTGCATCACAGATGCGATAACAAGAAAATAAAAAGGAGCTAGAATACGACGTCAGCCAACGCTTTTGCTGGATGGTTCTGTAGCCAAGGAAGCAGGAAATTGTCCATGCTACCAAAGAGACACATCTGCTTGGGGGTCCACCAGCTCCTCATGGGAACACGGCTGCAGGCGGGATGTACTTCCTACCCAGACTCCGTGGATCATAGGAACAATTGGCCTGCTTTTGTGGCACTACCTCCCCCATAATCCACCACCTGAACATTTCCCAAGAATTGGAGCACTGAGTTGGGCAGGGATCCGGGAGCCCTTTTCTTGCCCTGGGGACCCACTCAGCAGCTTCCTTCCTCCGCTGCAGATGTGGATGAGTGCCAGCTCTACCAGTCCAATTACCACACCCGGATCTGCCTCCACAAATGTGTGAACCTACCTGGGTCTTATCAGTGCAGCTGCCCATCCGGCTATCGGTTTCAGGCGGAGCAAAACATATGCAGCGGTGAGTCCCTCCCATCCTCAAAGTGAGGATCATAAATTGCAGAAATGTAGAGCAGCAATTATACCCTCCTCATCAGGCAGGCTGTGTGTGTGTGTGTGTGTGTGTGTGTGTGTGTGTTAAAATAGTGGTAATCCTCCACAATTGAGTCCAACGTTTCTGTTAAGTGAGACGTTTGTTAAGTGAGTTTTGCCCCATTTTATGACCTTTCTTGCCACGGTTCTTAAGTGAATCACTGTAATGGTTAAGTTAGAACCTGGTTGCTAAATGAAACTGGCTTTCCCATTGACTTAGCAGCCCCGTATTTTTGCATTTCATACAGGGAGTCCTTGACTTACAACAATTCATTTAGTGACTAAGTCAAGGAAATGCAAAAACACAGGGCTGAAGGTCTTCGCCCCATTCATTCCAGAGGTGCCGGGAGGCTGGGCTGCCCTCAGCGCATGGATTCCACAACCCTGCCCCATATTCATCTCTTCAGAGCAAGGATGTGGATTGCTATCCGTTGCAGTGGGGAGTTGCACAGAGCTGGGATCCATTTCCCTGTCTATTTGCTGTGGATCCTTGCTGGGATCGGAGTGGCACAGTGCCAGCAGCCCAGAGCAGTTCTGACCCTCCGCCAAGTTCCTAGAGCAGGGTGAGGGTCTGTAATGTTTGCCAGGACCCAGCAGGGCTCCAGACCGCCAGGGTGGAGACGGGCAGACTGACTCTTCTCTGTTGTCTTTGCAAGATGTGGATGAATGTGCCGCGAATCAAGACAACTGCAGCCGTGGACAGATGTGCGTCAATGTCTTTGGTGGCTTCCGTTGCGTGAAACCCGAATGTCCCAAGACCCAGTTCAACACAACTTATGTCAAGACGTCGGCCTCGTGAGTAGACGTTCCAGAAATGAGGGTGGAGGGTGGGGTCCTTAGCAGCAACTGGGACTAAAGACGACAGCGGGAATTGGTTAGGGCTAGTCTAGTGAAAAGAAGGACCAGGGCTGACATGATTAGCATATTTGAGGGGCTGCCACAAAGAGGAGGGAGTCAAACTATTTTCTAAAACAGCAGAAAGCAAGACTGGAAACAGTGGGTGGAAGCTAATCAAGGAGAGAGAAGCAACCTGGAATTAAGGAGAAACTTCCTGGCAGTGAGGACAATTAACCAGTGGAACAGCCTGCCTCCAGAATCCCAAAGGGGTTTTTCACGAGGCACTTTCTTGAAGAAAGTCCAGTTACCCTGTGAAAAAAACACCTTTGGGATAACTATGACCCATTAGATGCCAGGGTGCTTTCCCCCGATTCAGACATGTCTTTGGGCACCTAAGAGGGCTCTAAACCAGGGGTTCTCAACCTTGGCAACTTTAAGACTTGTGGACTTCAACTCCCAGAAATCCTCAGCCAGCTTTGCTGGCTGAGGAATTCTGGGAATTGAAGTCCACAAGTCTAAAAGTTGCCAAGGTTGAGAACCCCTGCTCTAAACTCTTGGCAGTCCTGATCGGGTGTTTCTCTTCCACCTCCTCTTTGCAGGCAGTGTGAACGGAGCCCTTGCCCCATGGGCAGCCAAGCCTGCCAGAAAGCTGCCCATGCCATCTCGTTCCACTACCTGCCCCTCCAGTCCAACCAGTCGGTGCCCTGGGTCCTTTTCAGGATGTCCACCAGCCGCTCGCTGGGCGACAGCCTGCGCTTCGCCCTCCTAGGGGCCAACAGCCCGGGGAGACTTGCCGTCCAGCGCTCAGATCAGCACACGGGGGAACTGGTACTCACCCGTTCGGTCCTGGGCCCAGCAATCCTGGAGGTGGAGGTGGAAATGAGCGAATTTGCCCAGAAGGTTCTTCTAGGGAAGCACATCTTCAAGGTCACCGTGTTGGTTTCCCAGTATGACTTCTGAGCCCCTTGGAAAGCCGGCCAGGCCTTGGAGAAGCCCAGGAGCAGATGTGGCAGGAATCTTGAAGGCCAAACCAAGTCTTGATCGGCTGAAGCAGACTCTCCTCTCTCCTCTCCAAGTGGTTGGACACTTCCCCCACAATCTGTCCCCTCCGGGAGGCTTTGAGGGAGAAGCAATGGAGGGGAAGCCCCTCCACTGTGGAGGAAGGCCAACAAAATGATTGGAGTTCATGCAACAGCTGGCAGGGGCAAAGAACTGGAAGGCACGTAAATCCTTGCGACCGGAATTGCGGCAAGAATAAACTCCCAGGATGGGTCAGTGGGCTTTACTAGATGTAGGTGTTCCCCTAAGCCTGCGTGCAAGAAAAAGGCCAAGTTGCACAAAGCCCTGCAGAGCTTGGAAATTCAGCTTGGGATGTGGGTAATAATAGCCATTCAGAAATTCAGCTTGGGATGTGGGTAATAATAGCCATTCAGGACGGCAGCCTTTTTGGCTTGGTCAGAGAGCACGCTGCTGGAATTTATTCCACAATCCCTACGTTCCTGGTGGAACGTAGGGATTGTGGAATAAGGTGGGTGGCTCTGACTCCTTTGGGTAGAAATTGGTTTGATTTTTTTTTATAATTTGCCTCAAATTCTAGCTGGGAATCATTTATAGGCATCTGATTTCCCCTGGCTCAGACTTGATACAAGTAGGCCTTGTTTATCTTTATAAGCAAACTAGATTTGGTGTGTAAATAGCAGTCATTAAAATACAGGGTTTTGTTGTTATCCTGTGTCAAATGCTTTGGCTGCCATAAAAGACGGTGGATAATCACCCTATGGCAGGGGTAGGCAACCTTGGCTCTTTTATGACTTGTGGACTTCAACTCCCAGAATTCCTGAGCCAACCATCTTTGGAAGCTCATGTGCTGCTCTTTTCTCCAAAGGCCAAAGCAGCAGAGAGTTGCCTCTGGATTCCCCCCCCCCCCCAGCTGCATACCCCTAATTTGGCTGCTTAGCCACTTGGGCCCCAAAGGCAGAGTATCTAAATGATGGCCACCCACTCTGCTCAGTAGGTGCAGAATTTGGACCGGTCGTGCCAATGCACTGGGAGGCGGCAAACTGGGAGAAAACAGCCAAGCCGTGTCTCAAAGGCTGCACTGTCCAGGGGAACTGGAGATTGGCACCTGGTATCAATGGCTGCATTAAGCACACTGGCCAGTTTTCAAGGCTGTGGTTAAAGCGAAGTTCCAAGGCAGGAACTCTAGGTCATCACTACACAAACACCCGCAATTCCCACTGAGCACTCACAACCTTCCCAAATAAGCACCGAGCCAGCATTGGGTTTCACAGGCTGCTCGGAAATGCACCTCCCTAACCCCAGATGCAGAGACTGGCCGCCCAAACTCTGCGTCGTCATTTGGAAGACTCCGAAGCCAATCTCCAGACTAGCCAGCATTTGTAGCTAATCAAGTCTTTATTGATTACAAACCTGGTGGTGGCCTTGAAAAAAAACAAAAAACCTCTGGGACAGGAGTTCCCTGCAGGCAGATCGTGTGCTGAAGCAGCAGCTTCCCAGTTGGAGAAGGGCAGAACTGGGGGGGTGGGGGGGAGCTGGTGCTCCCATGGTAGGGGGGGGGGGGCTTCAGGCCAGGAACCGTCTCCTGAAGAAGAGCTGGGGGGGGGGTTCAGACAAGCAGATTTCCCCAGCGAAGACACCTTGCAAAGCCAGGAGGGTTTTCTGTGTCCCAGCCACGGTGTCCTTCTGTGGCCAAGGCTCTAGGCACTAAGCTGGCCGAGACGGGGCAGAGGGCAAGGCCAGGCTGAGCCCCTCCACGGTCACCTCGGGCGCATAAGGCACTCTGAAGAGGAGGAGCTTCCTCAGCTTCAGGCCGTGGGGAAGTAGCTGCCCAGGGAAGCTTTACAGTTATGATCATAAGCAAAAACAACAATGAGATTTCCCTCCACCAATCTGGGTGAGGACTTCTAGAAAGCAACCCAGAACGATCCAGGGCGGAGGGGCTTTCAGTACCAAAGGAGAGAAACATCCTAAAGTGCATCTGAGAATGGCCAGGGAGGAAGGGCTGCTGGGAAGGAGGGCGGCAGAGAGGGGCTGGGAGTTCCTGGCAGGGTTCCCCCCAAAGGCAGGGCCAGAATGCAAAGAAGCCCAAGAGTTGCACAGAAGAGGCCCTGGAAAGAGAGCCAGAACTTGGAGACAGACACACACACGGAAAAGCTTGGCAGGCAATGCAAAATATGAAGGGGGGGGGGACTCCTCACTCAAATCTTTGTAGGAAGGTGATACAAAGCGGTGAAGGAGCAGATCTCTTTGGCACAAGGACAAATGGTGAAGCGCTCGGATGACCGAAAACCAGGCGCCCCTCTATGGGACGGGAGATGGGAACGGTACCCAACCCGAGTGACACCAACTGGGGAAGCTTGGCTGTCCCCACAGGCTTCTCTGATCCTCCGGCCTCATCTTCTCCAAGGCCTCAAACCTGCAGGGGAGCAGCCAGCTCTTCTGCCCCTCTTCCCAAGCAGGCCAGGCCTACATACACACACACACACACACACACACGCTTCTTCTATTATACAAACCACACATCTGCAAGGAAATGGCCGCCTCCAGCGTGGCTGCCTCGCAGAGACTTCTCTTCCGTGTCTGTGCTGAGCATTCTGGGAACCGAAGTCCACCTCTCCGGAGGGCACCCAAGATGGAGTTGGCCATGACAGAACAACATGAGAGGCAGGAGAACCGAAAGCGGATCCCGTGAAATAGATCCCAAAGAGGGAGCAGAGGACTGCTGAGGAGGAAATGAGTGACATCCGGCGGCTCTATTCCTATCTGAGGGACTTCCGTGTTTCCATGGATCGAGGCAGAGGCACGTCAAAGCTACTCAGGTCCTCCTGCCCACAGGACGCACCATCTCCTGCACTGGAGATAAAGATGAGATCATTCTCTTGCCATTTCTACTGACCCTCTGGAGGGTGGCTGGAAGTGACAGGACCAGGATGTTCTCATGTGGGCAAATCTCTGAACGATGTTGGCAGGTGCCCACGACCCCTGGCCCACCACCAGGCTGTGAGCTGTTTAAAACCAGGCCGCCTGACGTGGCAAGCAAGCTCGCGTGGGCATCTCCCTTTGCGCAAGCAGCAGGTAAGTGCATGCATGCACGCGTGCTCCGTTTGCACGAGTGGCGGGCACACATGCACGCCGCTCGCCCGGAACCATTCCCTCCCCCATTAGTCCGCAAAGCCGGAAAGGTTGGGGAATTCTGGCCTAAAGAGCAAACTGCAGGCCACTGCAGTTCCCATGAGGTCCTGCCACGTTCCCAAGACCTCAAACTCTCCGTGACGGCTGAGGGACTCGGGAAGTCTCTGCCTGCACCTGCCCATCATAAATACCCCTTTAGATTGGGAGCTGCAGGATCACTTTGGGAAAGGAAGGAAGGAAGGAAGGAAGGAAGGGTCAAAATATACAAAACCTAACAGACCAGAAAAGTCCAAAGAGCAATGTGGGAAAAGTCTGGCGCTTCGTGGGATTATTTTCCCTGGAAGCCACTGAACTCCATCTCATCCTTGCGCCGGCGGGAGGTGAACAGGGAGCTGAAGGGGTACAGCTTGGCCTTGGCTTGGAAGCGCTGCCCCGCAATGTCGATCTCGTATTCGCCCCGGTTGACAAAGTCTGTGGTGACCAGCTGCTCCTTGCCGGTCTCGGGGTCCAGGTTGTGAACGAAGCCCAGGCAAACATGCCGCTCCAGCGTGTAACTGTAAGCGCTGCTGGTGGTCTTGCCCACGTAGCAGCCGTTGCGATAGATGGGCTCCCCCCACCAGGGCCACAAGTCCAGATCTGTGTTATGGTCTTCCAGGATGAACATGGTGAAGCGCTTGTAGACCCCTTCCAGCTTCTGAGCCATCAGCGCATCCTTCCCGATGAAATCCATGCCCTGCCGAGAGAGACACGTCAGGAGATGGGATTCGATCCACTTCAGCTCTTTCTTCTACTTACTGCTGGGAAAGAACCACTGGCAAGCAACCCAAGGACAACGTTGTGATGGTGATGGGATGATCGTACTTCTTAGAAGGACACTGTCGTGGCTGCATCTCTCCTATCCAGGCTTCATGAGCTGACAGCCTGACATTAGTGATGGGTGAGGGAGGGGGGAGGGAAAGACTGAAATGTAGGGAGGAAGAAGGGCAGGGATGGAAGCCCAGCTGAGCCTTGTGAGAAACTTCAGCCAGCCAAGGTCAACTATCGAAATGCAGAGCTGGGAATTGAGAACCTGTTTCCCAAATAATATACAAGCATCTAATTGGACATTTACCGGGGGATGGCTGGGGGGGAGGAGGGAGAGAGAGGAAACTTTATTTTGTATTATTTGTGCGGGGAAAACCTCAGAGTCAGCTTACGCTACTTCTGTAACCATTTATGCTTCAGTCAAAGGTACTCTTGGCAAAAGCAAATGGCCAGGAGTCTTTCTTTGCTAGATGACTCAGTGGGACGGTTGACCCATACTTGATTCGAAGCTTGCTTCATATTTCTCACAAGAGCTATGAAGTATGTGAATACTCTATTCAGGGGTAGGGAGGGCGTAGGGGGAATGACAGAACCTTCCCCAGGCCACCCAGGGCGTCTGTGGGTGTAATGCAGAAGTTGGCTACATCACCGGAACAGCTGGGCTGTTCCAATCCCGATTCTTGATGATTAACACCTTAAATGCTCCTGCCACAAAAAATCACTTTGGGGTTTGGGGATTAAAGCAAGGGGATCCAACCTTGGCAACTTTAAGACTTGTGGACTTCAATTCCCAAAATTGGGAGACCCTGACTGAAAAGGATACACGTCCTTAAAGTTTTCCCAATTTTGGGGAGCATAAATGATATGTTGAGGACTCCTGGCCCTTGTGCGTGGCCCACTCCAAATCCACAAGTCTAACTCGGAGCCTGTTGGTGCCCTGTGGCAATCCTGAAAGGCAGAAGGCAGGCAGCCCCAATGCTAGAAAGTCCCACCACTCCCGCCAAGCCTACCATTCGGGGACCACCCCTCACCTTGTCCAGCTTCACCCGGAATTCTCGCCCACATTCCATAGGGCTGGTGAAAGCATCCAGATCTTGGCCCCAGAAGGCAAAAAACTTCTCAATGCGCAAGCTGCGGAGGGCGTAATAGCCAGCGTTCCGGATCCCGTACTTCTGCCCCACGCTCATCACCTCGTTGTACACATGGAGGGCATACTGCAGGGGGGGGGAGAGGAGGGGGGCGTTTAAATAACCCTGGTCAGGGGCAGTCTGGAAACCAAAGGCTGACAGCATCCCTCTTAAACAAAAAATGTGGATTACATCGTGCCATCTGGGGATTAGGCCCTTAGGGACAAGCCCCCCAACAGAGTAGAGACTGGCCTTCGAACTACAAACCCCACTCACCTCGATGGGGATGTAGAGCATGAAGCCGGGCTCCCCCGTGTGCGTCATACTCATGACACGGATGCCATTGGCATAGCCGACACTCATCTCCTGCAGAAAGAGGGACCGTGGCATTTACACAACAAAAATCCAAAGACAAAGGAAAACCGTTGTTCAGTTCACTGTAAGTAAACCAGCAAGGAAGCAAACTGACACTCTCCACTATCTGTAAAATATCTGCATAAGAAGAAACAAAGTTGCCAGATGAAATGGAAAAGTCACCTGCCTTACAAAAGAGGGAAGGGAAATGTTCAGGCGTCATTGGCGCATAAGAGAGCTCCGATAGGACATCCATGGCACGTGGGCCAATCAGATTCAAGGCTGAGGGAAATAAAGGAAAATAATTCAGCATCAGTGACAACTGCAGAATAGGAAGTCTTGCCCCATTACGCCCCCTCCCCCTTCTCTTTGCAGCTTTGTCAGCTCAACACAAATCAGCAAAGGCTGGGAAAGGATTTGGAACCTGAAATTGGATTTAATCTGGGTGAGAACAGAATGGGAAAAGGTACAAAGTTAACTAGGAGTGTCAGGTCTGAACGTTGGAAACAAAACAGCAGGCCAGCCTGCAGAATCTGAGGCTCCCTTGGAGAAGAACCCTGCCCTGGTCCAGAGGACTTCCAGTTCCCTCCAGCTGGGGCGGCTCCCCTCACCTGTGTATTTCCAGGTAACGTCTTCCAAGAAGAGATTGCTGTCTTCAGGCATGTGCTTCTTCAACCAGGCCCAGCAGTGCACCTGCTGGTCTGTGGGGGAAATCATGAAGAAGCTGCAGTATAGAAGACAGGAAAGGCATTTAAGCCCAAAGGGGGACCATTGTTATACAAGGCCTTTGAAAAGATGCCATCAGATAACACTGGAAACAACTGTCTGATCTCTGGCTCTTGTGTGACATTCATGCGGCTTTTGCTGGTGAAATTCTGACAATCTTGATCCAGCTCTTGGATCCTTGGACTGACTTCAAACTATTCCTCTGCGCTCCTCGCCTTTTAAAAAGCTAACCATTCAGGCAAGCATTTGTCAGAGACTCTGTTTTGGTTTGTAGGTTTTGGCTGCTGTTATCTCTTTACTTAGGTAAAGTCTGAATTACCATCACAACCGTGTGAGAGTCAATATTTGGAAGCAGAAGCCAGACACAGACCTTGGCAGCACCTTTTCCAAATAACCCATTTTATTAAAAAGTATAACTGTCTTTAACAGCCAGCAAATGGAAATGGCCAGCCAGACGTTCACTGTCCAATTCTGACAGCAACAGGTTTCCATTTCATTTAGTGACTTTCTTGCTCGTCTCATTTCTGTAAAGGCGCCTTTAATACAACGAGCACATTACATACTACAGCATTCAGTTTTCTAGGCTTGCACAAGGCCCCAGTTGTGTATATCACACTATCAACAGACTGCTTAACCATAGTTTATCAGATAAACCACAGGTGATTGGCCTGACACTACAGGATACGCCAATGATCATGATTTAAGGAAAAATAACCCGGAACACATTTTGGCTAAGCAATGATAGAAATTCCTGGACTGTCCTTTGAATCTCTTTATATGAAATTAAAGTAAGGAATGGGGGGAAAATGCCTCCCCTTTCTAGTTACACCCGGGTGACTCAATTTCTCTAGGCCGGTGTCCAAGCAGACCAGTGTTCCGTAGAAACCAAGGCATCTCTTCAACCACACTGAGGGTCCGGTGATATCACAAGCTGTGGAGTCATCATGCAAATGATGCCACACTGAGTTTATCATCTGAGGTCCTCATAGCTTCAACCAGATTCTGGGTATGGATGGTAAGTCACAAAAGGCCCCAAGGGGTGAAGCCAGCCAAGTATCCAGGCGACAGGTGGGAGAGCCTACCTGCGTTTGTTCACGCGGGCTATGCTGCAGTCGTTCTCGTATCCTCCGTTGTGATTGAGCATCCCTGTGTGCACAATATGCCCAACTGGCACGTCCAGGTCGTTGGAGAAGAGATACTGCAGAACCTCCAAAGCCTGTCCCCCTGTGGACTGCAGCGGACGGGAGAAGGGACACAAAACATAAGACCAGCTTGACAGAAGAGGCCAAGGCCCATCACATGCCAGCACTTTAGCGCTCACTGTGGCCAACCTGATGCCTACCAGCTGCCTGCAGGAGGAGACGGAGACATGGTGCTTCCTGGCACTATTCTCCTGTGCTGGCATTTGGAGCCAAACTGCCTCTGATCCAGAGATAACTTGGTATCTGGATATTAACAACCACCAACATACCTGTCCAGCACATCTATGAACCATTTAAATAAAAGTTCCACATCCAGAGGAAATCTATTTGTGATCCACTGGTTCCCAGGAACAAAAACAAAAAGAAACAAAAGTCCTTACCCTTAAACTACGTTTGATGGATCACAGTGTTTGTGTTTATCTAAAAATAATTTCTACCTTTTTAAGGCATAGAATGGCTTCACATGTTACTCTAAGTTAGGACTTGTAACAAAAAGTTTTATCCTACTCCAAATTGGTTGCATTTGCAAATGACACTAAGCAACACAGACTTACATGGCCCACTATTTACATTCACAAAATGTTACTAAGCCAAAACCAAAGTCTAAAACGTATGTCTGAAGTCAGGACCCAGTGTCAGACCTGCCTCAAAACCCGGGCTTCTAAGTAAAACGATCCTTAACTCCGTTGGTTGAGAAAGGTGTAGTTTACTAAGAGATGTTTTGGAAATAGTCACTATGGGTTGGCATTCTTCTCCCAGGCAGGCAAGGACCTGGAAAACTTTCTCACAGAGAAGGATCCTCCCAGTTCAGTTTCCCTTTCCCCCAGGCCCTCACCCTCCTTTCCAGGTTCTCCCCCCCCCCAGGGTTTAGGGCAGACTAGCAGTGAGGGGGCAGTTCTGACACCCTGCACACAAACATGGAAACCTTACGAATACCGCTCTGGAGGAAAAAGCACTTACGCTTATCTCAAACTTGGTGAAAGAGGACATGTCAATGACACAGACGGCCTCTTTGCAGCACTTGACCTCTGCCCCCACAATGTCAAACCAGTCCGGCTTGTAAAAGGTCTTGCTCTGATCCAGAGCCAGCAAATCTGCAGGAGAGGAAGCGCAAGGCTCAGCATGGGGCCCCCAAACATGGCTCTCGGATCCCAGGGTGCCTCCAGGGGGAATCGCTCTCACCTTTCCCTGGAGGGACAAAGTATTTTGCCCTCTCAAAACCATGCTTCTCCATCCACCTCGCTCCCTGGGCATCCAGCCGGTCGTAAAGGGGAGACGTGCGGAGCTGCCGGCCAGTCTGGAAATCCCAGCGGGGAACTTTTAGTTCATAAATCAGGGCTGGAGAGGGGCCATAGAACCACAGAATCAATGTGCTGGAAGGGACACAGCGCATTATCCTTCCAGTCCAGGTAGAATATCGTTTACAATTACCCGAACACCCAGCTCAAACTTTAACAGGAAAAAAAAAATCCACATTCAGGAGGCAGGCGAATTTTGGGGCCCTCGCCTACTTACGCATCACTTCCATGACCCGGTGGCGGAGGAAGGTGCGGCTGCTTTGCAGAGCCCCGAAGCGCTTCAGGTCCAAGGGCCAGACGTTGTCAGAGGGGTAGCCGTTCACCATCCATTCAGCCAGGAACCTGTTACCGAAAATGCAGAGCTGAAAGGGGCTGTGGAGGCCGTCCGTTCGTAGCACGAACTGCCTCCAAGCACCCCTGACGGGTGGCTTTCGAATTGCCTGAAGATATCCAGACAATCCCATCGCTATGAGTCCGGGATTCCAAATCATGCAATAAATGCAAAGAAAAGCATTTGCGGATTTTACTCCGCCAGACATCTCTGTTTCAGTAAGTTAAGAACTGAAAAAACCCCACTTTCCTACACAGAACCCCCCCCCCAAGTTTCACCCCCACCCTCCTTCTTAATAGGAAAGGAGTCCACTTACTTGCCTGCTCCACCTCCAAAAGAGGTACCGGCTGCATTCATTCCCGCTAGGACGAAGTAGCCCTGTCTGGTGGGGGATTCTCCCATGATGCACCGCATGTCTGGAGTAAAGGATTCTGGGCAATTCACCAGCTGCACTATCTCCAGGGCCTCCATGTCGGGCATCCTCCGCAGCAAGGCGCTCAGGAGTGGCTCTAAACCCCCAAGACAGAGCAGAGAGTCTCTGGTGGGTCTCCTCTCCCACCACCCCAAGAGTGTGCCAGGCCTCCAGCAACGACACTTACAGGTGGTTCCTCTGAGCAAAGCATGTTTCTAGCCCAGCCTGCCTTCTACAGGCAGTCCTTGACTTACAACGTTTTATTTAGTGACAATTCAAAGTTACAACGGCATCCAAAAATGATTTATGACCATTTTCCCCACTTACAACTGCTGCAGCACCCCCGTGGTCACGAGATCAAAATTCAGACGCTCGGCAACTGACTCACATTTATGATGGTTTCAGTGTCCTAGGGTCATGTGATCCCCTTGTGTGATCACATGGGGAAGCCAGATTCAATTAACAATGAATGTGTTAAATGTTACTCATTCAAGGACTGCAGTGGTTCACTTAACAACTGTGGCAAGATAAGTCGTAAAACGGGGCAAAACCCACTTAACAAATGTCTCGTTTAGCAACATAAATGTTGGGCTCAATTACTGTCATAAGTCGAGGACTACCTGTATTCTGTTCGGCGTGGTGCCTTAGCAATGTCACCGTATCTCAAAAGTTACGTACCTGGAAGGGGAGATACCCCGATCATCTGAAAAAGAGGGGAAGTGGAAAGGAGCGACCAGGATATACATGCAAAGTGGCTCTCCTCCCCAAAACAAAGGAATTGCAGTGCAGCACTCGGGGCCGCTTCATCTCCCAACCGCTTTGCTTGCTCACTCAGGCATCCAGAAAATTGTGCCTCTGTTTTTGGTGAGCTTCAATTTTGATGGGCAGAGTCAAAACGGAGTAAATTAATACAAACAAACAAGTAAGATGAGCATTCCTTTACACCACCAGCCTGGGCGCCTTACCAAAGTGATCCCAATCTTCCTGCAAGCTGTGTATCTCCAGCTGATTCTTGCCCTCGGTGAAAATGGGCTTGGGGTTCTTTTCAAAGCCGCCAGAGAGGATGCCCCCTTGCCAGCTGCGAATGTAGATCCTCCCATCAAGGTCCACAACGGCTGCCAGGGAGAGAAGCAGGATGCTGGTGAGGAGGGGGGGGGGCGACTTTCCTTGCTTGCTATGGGCCCACCACCCAGAGAGGTCCTGCACAGGGCCAGGCTGCCTTCTCCTGCAGCCAAGGGCAGAGAAGAAGGGTTGCTGGCCAGACATTCTCTAGCAAAAGGAAGCCCAGCCGGGCTACTCCCGGAGTGCTCTCTGCTCCTGCAGGCTGTTTCAGAATGTCGGCACGAGGAAAGGACACCTCAAAGCCTTTGTCTTCACTCTTCTTCAGAGCGGCTGGGGGCTTCTTCAGCTCTTGGGCCAAGGAAGTTAAAGAATCTTCTCTAAATGGAATCAGGCCTTGCCCAAGGCTGTCCTGGCTGACTCCCGTAGGTCTCACGTCAAGCCTCTTAAGCCTGTCCATACCCTTCATTACCTCAGGGGTGTCCAACCTTGGCAACTTGAAGACAGGTGGACTTCCACTCCCAGAATTCCACCAGTCTTAAAATCGCCAAAGTTGGGAAACGCTGACGTCAAGGGCTCCAGGGGTCTGATTTTAATATTAAAAGGGAGACCATGGCATCACTTCCGGTGGTCATAAATGAGCCAGGCGGGTGTTAGAAGGACTTGTATGACGAAGAAGTAAAGCAGGATGAGAAATGGTTAGTCTCTTTCCCTGCACTCCCCTGAAATGGAAATTAAATCAACTCCTCCCCGGCCATCCCCAAAAAGCTTATCTAAGAAGGCAGAGGCAAAGAATTAAACAAGCAACGCTGTCCCATGTTCAGCCTGGAACATGGTCAGGGGCCCTGACGTTGCAACTCCCAAGGTTTCGTACTTGCATCGCTTCTGCGGAATGGCTGGCTGGGGAATCCTGGGAGTTGAAGTCCACAAGTCTTCAAGTTCCCAAGGTTGGACACCCATGCTTTAACTCAAGGGCGAGAAATCCGTGGTGCTCCAGGTGCCCAACTGGCAGACAGTCAGCCTGTACTCAAGCCCCCTGTCCCTGGAGCAGGTGGCCCCCAAACACAACCGGAGCGCCTTGCGCTCCCAGCCTTTCTGTTGCATGTGGACGCCAAGCACCTCCGCACTAAACACCCACGGCCTGCCGTTGTGCCAAAGCCCAAGCACCTGCAACACAGCGCAAGAGAAGGTTCCTCACTTGGAGTGCTACTCTCCAGGGGGGTCTTCAGGGGACGCGTCAGAAGGTAGAAGTGCTCGCAGGCATGTAGCGGGATGCTGACCGGCTCCTCGTTGGAAAGGCCGAGCTCGTAAGCCCACTGAAAGCAAAGCAGGCAACTTAAAAACCAAGGGCAGATTTTACGTCCATGGGGCTCACTCTTCAAATTGTGCTGCACTGTTTCAAAGAAATATTTCAACCCATTGTTTAAATGCAGGAATAAAAAAACACCATAATAAAAAAAACCCTCAAAGCCCCACATTTTATAGGAACAAATAATAAAAACCCAGAAAAATTAGAAGTGCATGTAAGTTGGTTTATAATCTTGAGGACTGAAACAACTGTTAATTTTCAATACTTTGTTCCAAAAAAACACTTAAACTGAAATTATGGAAATTTTTTATGTTGTGTTAATCTTTTCAGACAATATTATTTCCCACACTTTTAAATATCCTTGATGCAAAGAAAGTTGGTTGTAAATGTCTCCAGGGACAAAATACATAAGGAAACAGTTATTTATTATTTCAGTATATAGCCTGCTTTTCAACTGGTGTAGCACACAAACAGTTGACAAATATTGTCTACTGGTTTAACATTCACTGAGCACAATTACATGCTTTGCATACCGTGTTCTGATTACAGAACCCAAACCGAACGGTAAGAAAAGCAGAGAGATAACCTTCTTGTGCTTCTCTGGCCTTCAGGCAACTATATGCCTACAACAAGGAGCCCTCCACGTGCCATCCACTCACCCCCTGCCCTCAATCCCACCAGCCACCCCATTTAGCACAACTGCAACCTAGTCTAATGACGTGAGCAGCTTGCCAAGTTGAATAAGTCCCTCTCGTTCGTTGCACAAAAGGCCCAGCCACCTAAAATCTGCTGGATAGGTCTACTTTGGCAGGCAGTCCCCGAACCCACCAAAGAGAAGACCAGCCATGATCAGGAGAGGCTGGCCAACAAGCCCCACAGTCCAATCAGGGTCTCACCTGCCCAGCACAGTTAACGAAATATGAGCACTCAATCATCCCTCTGTCCGTATCCACTCCAGTTACGCAGCCTTTCTGGCCCAAAACGTGGATGACACTGGTTCGCTCGTGGATCTGAACACCTAGGAAGAGGAGAGCAAGTTGGGTGACCTCTGGTGATCCATTGCAAGGGAAAACTTTCACTGTCTCTCTTGGACTTTGCTCACCCAAAGTGCCATACTGCTTAGGGTAAAAGCACAGGACACAAAGATATTTACATTACTCCAGATCAGCTGAAGCTTCCTGGTTTTCAGGATATGGCCTATAACAGCTCCCTCCCTATCCATCAAACAGTACTTGCTTCCCACAAAATGCTCACAACGCAACATACACCCAGGGCCTTAAAGGAAAGCTGGAAGGGAGCCTATCCATCCCCTCCCTCGGTCTCTTTGCGGCATCCCTGCACCGCCCCTCCCAAGCAGTGCCCACCCCCTGAGAAAGGAAGCATGGACAGGACAGCGGGGAAGCTGCACCATACCGTTTGCTGCAGCCGCATTGGCCAAAGCGAGGGTCACATCAGCAGATGATACGATGGCATCCTCGGGCACATGCAGGGCCCCCACCAGGTCGTGGATGTTGATAAAGGAGTGGAGTTGGGCCACTCTCTTTGGCGGGATAAGCTCGCAGGGGATTCCCATGATTCTGTGGGAGACACACGGGAACCATTACACTCGCTCCAACCAGGTTGGCGAAGGAAGTGCCGCCCCACCAGACGTGCAGGTGCGCCAGCTTACTTGAGTCGGGAGGCGATGCGTTTCAGCGAGATCAGCCGGTCTTGGGTCTGAGCTAATGAGATGGAGCCTGTCCTCATGTAACCTGGAACAAAAAGCAGCCCGTGCTCGGCCTCCCTGAGGTCCCACAAAAAAAGAGCCATTTCCTGCATTGCTTATTCTTGGGTGGGAGAGTAAAGGAAGGAAACAGGCGTTAGAGCGGGTTTCCCAACCTTGGTGAATTGAAGGTGAGCGTCAGCTGCCCATCATCTCTGCTTTGTCTGAAGCTTGCTAGCAACTGCCATAACAGGGGGAGGGGCATCTGGGAGGGGAAGAGCACTGGAGGTGTGAAAGAAGGCTGTGAGAATTTGGGGAGTGTGGACACTAAGGGGAACCGGAGGTGCCAAAGCGAGCCATCTGCCTGTCCTCAAGGACTTCGGCCCTGGGAAAGGAACTTACCACTTGCGCCTCAGGCACCAGATTCCCAAAACATCAGACCAGGACTGGACTGGACTCCTCTGGCGGGGGAGAGGGGGGCTTTGGACGTTGGGGATTGCTTTCAATATACGATTTTCGTGCAGTTTTTCTTCAGAGCTTGCCTCACTCACACCGCACTCAGCCCCTCTAGTAAAAGTACCTTTTCTCTAACACCCATGGAGTCAAGGGTCGCTTTCAGCTCTATTCTATTCTGTTCTGTTCTATTCCTATTCCATTTTATTCTATTCTACGGTATTCCCCACTCCCCACTCCCCCTCTACTCCTGATGCAATTGGAGAGTGCCAAGAAGGTAGATACAGGATGTCTTCTTTCCCCAAATTGGCAGCTCTGGTGCTTACCCGTTTTCACACCTGTCTCTTGCTCAAGTTGCTGGTAGAGCCTCCTTGAGTAATCGGCCATCTTCAGCTCAATGGACAAATGCCGCACGGTGCTTACGATGCCTGCGCAGAATCGCGTGGAACCGGCTGCCAGCCTGAAAGGGAAAAGCCGGAGAGGTGTAGAGAAACTCCAGACCCCAAGAGAGAGAAGAGAACAAGAAGCCCCGAAGCTCAATTGCAAGTTATACATACTGGTATCCTTGACTTACAACCATAATGGAGTCTGCTCATCACGGTCGTAAGTTGGGATGGTCACAAAACGGGTTAGTCCTATGGGTTCAACTTACCACCATTGTGACATATGACAGAAATTCTGGGCTCTATTACAGTTATAAGTTAAGGACCACTTTTATGGTAAAACAAGCAGAGATGCGGTCCAGAACAAATAGGGGATCAATTCATCCATTCATTCTAGCCATTGTCTGTCCACTGCAGGATGAAGGCCTGTTCTGCAGGTTTCCAGCCAATACTGTTGTGGGCTTTCTTTTGCCAGTTGTGCCCGCAATACTTGCTGATGTCGTCGCTCCATCTTGTTTTAGATCTCTTTTGTGGACGCTTTTTACCAAGTGGAATCCGTTCTATGACTGCCTTGGTCCACCTGCCATCGGTCTTCTTCCTACATGACCAGCCCATTTTCATTTCTTTTACTCTCAAAAAGAGGGCTCAGTGAAGGTATAATATAGAAAAGAAGCATCCAGTGCAAAAAAAAAAAAAAGGCATAGTGAGGAAATGTAATTGTTTATAGAGAATAAATGAAGATGCATTTCAGAACAAATTGTGGATGGTTTGTGAGGAAGAAGACCCAGGAAGTTATGATTGGACAGAGTTGGTGACATGCTCAAAAACATAATCCTTTACCTGCCCTGCTCCAGTAAGACAATGTCCTTCCACCCTAGCTTGGAGAGATGATATGCCACTGAGGTGCCCATGATTCCACCACCACAGATAACCACTTGTGCATGTGTTGGCAGGGGCATCGCGTGAGGCTCAGCAACATTGGTGCTGCTGTGCCGGGCGCCACACAGCCTCCACCACGTCAGAGTCATTCTTTGCCACTGGAGGTCCAATAGTCGATGGAGAAGAATCATGCTGACGGTTAGTCAGTTCTCCAAAGATGCACAGATAAATCTTCACAGCTCTGCTAGCTCTGCAAAAGAGGAGCATGATTTTCGTTACGTACGTTTGGAAAATGTGCCCTGACTTCAGTGAGATCGGTCAGCAGCAGCAGCAGCATCTCAGGTGTGAACAGATCAGGGCTCCTAAGGTTTTTGGATGGGTGGGAACGTGCAAAAGTTTGAGAACAGGATCTGGCCCATCTTGGAAAATGATTGCAGTGATACTTCATCACAAGCCCTTTAGTATTTGGAAGCCACAAACTGAAACAAAAACATTGCACACTCTGCTTTTAAAAAGTCAATGAATAAGAAATGTTGAGGCAAAACTATAATTCCACCAAAATAAAGAATATGAGCACAACAAAAATGCATTCTGCAATAACAATAACCCCCCCCCATCACTACCCCCACTGGGGATATTGGTGGAGTGATGGAAGCCCCTGATATACGGGAGCCACTAAATTGAACGGACAGGCGAGTTTGCTCACCCGCCCTGCGTTATCTGTCTTCTTACTTTTTAGCCTTTATTTAATCTTTCTTAATTTTAATTGTTCTATACAGGTAGTCCTCAACTTACGACCAGAATTGAGCCCAAACTTTCTGTTGCTAAGTGAGACATTTATTAAGAGAATTTTGCCCTATTTTATGACCTCCCTTGGCTTCCTTGTTAAATGAATCGCTGCATTTGATAAGTTAGTAACTCAGTTGTTAAGTGAATCTGGCTTCCCCATTGATGTTGCTGGCCGGAGGTTTGCAAAAGTCATCAAGTGACCCTGCCACCATCATTAAATATAATCAGCCAGTTGTCTCGCATTGAATCACCTGATCTTGGGGATGCTGCAACAGTTGTTAAGTGTGAACAACAGTCACAAGTCACTTTTGTCCAGTGCTGTTGTTAACTTTGAACGGTCACTAAATGAACTGCTGTAAGCTGAGGACTGCCTGTATTGTCTTGTATCATTTTATAAGCTACCTACAGCCACTGCAACAGTGGGATGGGGGGCGGGTGTATAAATTTAATAAACAAACCGACCGGGTAAAGGTCTTGGGAGGGGGCTACCTACCTGCCCTAAAGGGTGGAAGCGGGGGGGGCAAACTGCTCTTCTGAGCCTCCCCCCTCACAAGGGGGCTGTTGGGGAGAGAAGGAAAGAGCGGGGGGGGGCGCAAGTGGGGTCTGGTGCCCGACAGATGAGGCAAGGGAGCGGGGGGGGGGACAAGGGAGCGAACGTCCGCCCCATCCCACCTACCCACCCCAAGAAAAGCCACGAAAGGCGGGAAGCAGAGCGAGCAGGATAAAACCCGAGGAGCCTTTCTTTCCCAGGGGCGGCGGGGGGGAGGGGAGGAGGGCGCTGGGGTATTACGGGCTGCAAGGGGGGAGCCGCCCCTACCCTGCTGGGGTGCAAGGAGGAGAAGGGCCAGGCGGTCACCCCCAGCCAGCTTTCCTCTCGGGGGCAGCTAAACGCCCCCGTGCCCGGCGCGGCCGCCAAGGACCCAGCCAGCCCGGCCGCGGGACTCACCTGTGCGGCCTCTGGCGCGGTGCTCACCTGGCGGGAGGCTTCAATTTGCATCGTCGGGCCCGCCCCGCGGCGCTCATCTGCATACTGGGCACCGCCCCCCACAGGTATCGTCGCGGGGGGAGGGAGGGAAAGAGGGAGGGAGGGAGACCTGGGGCGGGCGCGGAGGCAGCGCGCGACCTTCCTCCTCTATTTTCCGCCCGCGCTTTACGGCCGCCGCGTGCGACAAAGTCGCGCGTCTTCTCCGTGGCTCAACCCGTGACGCACAGGCGAAGCGATGGTAGTGCGCTTGCGCACTCTCCGGTGCAGGTCGATGGGGCGCAAGTGCTTCCTGGTTTTCCGTTCAGGGATGCTGCGAGAATATTTGGGGTTTGTTTATCCAGAGCGGAATCGACAAGACAAAGCTTTTTAAAGCGACAAGACATGAAAAGGGAAGTTCTCGACCACTTCCCATACAAAACAAACCATTTCTGCTGATTCATCTCTACCCAGAACATAAACATAAAAGTGTCAGAAGTGTGCCAAACCCCAGAATACTTTGAAATTTCAAATAGACTTTTGAGTGACTTTCATTCCCAGCAAATGTTTTCAATGTTGTTTCCGTCCATGCTTCACACTGACCATTCATGTTCATGGGAGGCAAAGCCATGTCAGCTGAATTCATGCATGCTCTATATGCATGTGATTATCCGATTTACGTCCATAATTTATTTCCTCTTTAGATTTTCACAGAACTGGATGCAACAGCTTCACATTTCAAAATACAGCATTTATAAATTTAGGACATAAGACTGGGCAGGGCATCTTGGAGGTCCTAACAGTGGGGACAATTAACCAGTGGAAAAGCTTGCCACCAGAAATTGTGGGCGCTCCATCACTGGAGGTTTTTAAGAAGAGACTGGACAGTTACTTGTCTGAGATGGTATAAGTGTGTGGTGGGCAGGGCGATCTGTCTGGCGGGTGGGGGAAAACCTGCTCCACTTGTTCCATTTTCGGCCGAGCCGCATTGCAGCAGCATTGGGCACACTACGGGAGGGGGCAAACAGCTGCGTCAACCCGAAACTAGCCATTTGCCACCTGCCCAATGCCGCTGCCATAAGACAGCAGAACAAGCTGGGCGGTGGTAAGAAGCTGGCAGCGGCCCCACGTGCATCCGACCCAACCCTCGCAGTAAAATTCCACCTAGGGTTAGGGTTAGGTCACCATGAACTCATAGAGCAAAATGGACATCGCCAACAAACTCGGAGTGTTTGGGTATGGTTAGGAGGGCACTGACTTTCCTAGCCTGCCCTCTCTATGTTTCCTGGTAAAATACATGGGAAAATCCCATTGGAGGAAAATTCCACTTAGGGTTAGGGTTAGGTCACCATGAACTCATAGAGCAAAATGGACATCGCCAACAAACTCGGAGTGCTTGGGTATGGTTAGGAGGGCACTGACTTTCTAGCCTGCCCTCTCTATGTTTCCTGGTAAAATACATGGGAAAATCCCATAGGAGGAAAATTCCACTTAGGGTTAGGGTTAGGTCACCATGAACTCATAGAGCAAAATGGACATTGCCAACAAACTTGGAGTGCTTGGGTATGGTTAGGAGGGCCCTGACTTTTCTAGCCTGCCCTCTCTGTTTCCTGGTAAAATACATAGGAAAATCCCATTGGAGGAAAATTCCACTTAGGGTTGGGGTTAGGTCACCATGAACTCATAGAGCAAATTGGACATCGCCAACAAACTCGGAGTGCTTGGGTATGGTTAGGAGGGCACTGACTTTTCTAGCCTGCCCTCTCTATGTTTCCTGGTAAAATACATGGGAAAATCCCATGGAGGAAAATTTTTTGAGGTCACCATGAACTCCATATAGCAAATGGACATCGCCACAACTCGGGTGATTGGTATGGTTCGGAGGCACTGCCTTTTCTAGCCTGCCCCTCTATGTTTCTGGTAAAATACAAGGGAAAATCCCATAGGAGGAAAATTCTACTTAGGGTTAGGGTTAGGTCACCATGAACTCATGGAGCAAAATGGACATCGCCCACAAATTTGGAGCGCTTGAGTATGGTTAGGTGGGCACTGACTTTTCCTTAGCTGCCCTCTCTATGTTTCCTGGCAAAATACCATGGAAAATCCCATTTGGAGTAAATTCCCCTTAGGGTTATGTCACCATGAACTCATAGAGCAAAATGGACATCACCAACAAACTCTGAGTGCTTGGGTATGGTAGGAGGGCACTGACCTTTTCTAGCCTGCCCTCTCTAGTTTCCTGGAAATACATGGGAAAATCCATGAGGAAATTCCCACTTGTTAGGGGTTATGTCACCATGAACTCTAGGAGCAAAATGGACATCGCCAACGAACTCAAAGTTCTTGGGTATGGTTAGGAGAGCACTGACCTTTCTACGCTGCCCTATCTATGTTTCCTGGAAAAATACATGGGAAAATCCCATTGGAGGAAAATTCCACTTAGGGTTAGGGTTAGGTCACCATGAACTCAGAGAGGAAAATGGACATGCCAACAAACTCGTAGTGCTTGGGTATGGCTAGGAGGGCCCTGACTTTTCTAGCTGCCTGCTCTATGTTTCCTGGTAAAAATACATAGGAAAATCCCTTGGAGGAAAATTCCACTTAGGGGTTGGGGTTAGGTCACCATGAACTCATAGAGCAATTGGCATCGCCAACAAACTCGGAGTGCTTGGGTATGGTTAGGAGGGCACTGACTTTTCTAGCCTGCCCGTCTCTATGTTTTCCTGGTAAAATACATGGGAAAATCCCATAGGAGAATTCCACTTAGGGTTAAGGTTAGGTCACCATGAACTCGGAGAGCAAAATGGACATCACCAACAAATTCGGAGTTCTTGGTTATGGTTAGGAGGGCCTGACTTTTTAGTCTGCCCTCTCTATGTTTCATGGTAAAATACATGGGAAAATCCCATAGGAGGAAAATTCCACTTAGGCTTAGGGTTAGGTCACCATGAACTCATAGAGCAAAATGGAAACCGCCAAAAAACTCGGAGTGCTTGGGTATGGTTAGGACGGCACTTACTTTTCTAGGCTTAACTATCTATGTCTGCTGGTAAAATACATGGGAAAATCCATAGGGAGGAAAATTCACTTAGGGTTTAGGGTTAGGTCACCATGAACTCATAGAGCAAAATGGACATCGCCAACAACTCGGAGCTGCTTGGGTATTGTTAGGAGGGCACATGACTTTTCTAGCCTGCCCTCTCTATGGTTCCTGGTAAATACATGGGAAAATCCCATTGGAGGAAAATTCCACTTAGGGTTAGGGTTAGGTCAACCATGAACTCATAGAGCTAAAAATGGCCATCGCCAACAAACTCGGAGTGCTTGGGTATGGTTAGGAGGGCACTGACTTTTCTAGCCTGCCCTCTCTATGTTTCCTGGTAAAATACATGGGAAAATCCCATAGGAGGAAAATTCCACTTAGCGTTAGGGTGAGGTCACCATGAACTCATAGAGCAAAATGGACATCGCCAACAAACTCGGAGTGCTTGGGTATGGTTAGGAGGGCACTGACTTTTCTAGCCTGCCCTCTCTATGTTTCCTGGTAAAATACATGGGAAAATCCCATTGGAGGAAAATTCCACTTAGGGTAGGGTTAGGTCACCATGAACTCATAGAGCAAAATGGACCTCGCCAACAAACTCGGAGTGCTTGGGCATGGTTAGGAGGGCACTGACTTTTCTTAGCCTGCCCTCTCTATGTTTCCTGGTAAAATACATGGGAAAATCCCATTGGAGGAAAATTCCACTTAGGGTTAGGGTTAGGTCACCATGAACTCATAGAGCAAAATGGACATCGCCAACAAACTCGGAGTGCTTGGGTATGGTTAGGAGGGCACTGACTTTTCTAGCCTGCCCTCTCTATGTTTCCTGGTAAAATACATGGGAAAATCCCATAGGAGGAAAATTCCACTTAGCATTAGGGTGAGGTCACCATGAACTCATAGAGCAAAATGGACATCGCCAACAAACTCGGAGTGCTTGGGCATGGTTAGGAGGGCACTGACTTTTCTAGCCTGCCCTCTCTGTTTCCTGGTAAAATACATGGGAAAATCCCATAGGAGGAAAATTCCACTCAGGGTTAGGGTTAGGTCACCATGAACTCATAGAGCAAAATGGACATCGCCAACAAACTCGGAGTGCTTGGGCATGGTTAGGAGGGCCCTGACTTTTCTAGCCTGCCCTCTCTATGTTTCCTGGTAAAATACATGGGAAAATCCCATTGGAGGAAAATTCCACTTAGGGTTAGGGTTAGGTCACCATGAACTCATAGAGCAAAATGGACATCGCCAACAAACTCGGAGTGCTTGGGTATGGTTAGGAGGGCACTGACTTTTCTAGCCTGCCCTCTCTATGTTTCCTGGTAAAATACATGGGAAATCCCATTGGAGGAAAATTCCACTTAGGGTTAGGGTTAGGTCACCATGAACTCATAGAGCAAAATGGACATCGCCAACAAACTCGGAGTGCTTGGGTATGGTTAGGAGGGCACTGACTTTTCTAGCCTGCCCTCTCTATGTTTCCTGGTAAAATACATGGGAAAATCCCATTGGAGGAAAATTCCACTTAGGGTTAGGGTTAGGTCACCATGAACTCATAGAGCAAAATGGACATCGCCAACAAACACGGAGTGCTTGGGTATGGTTAGGAGGGCACTGACTTTTCTAGCCTGCCCTCTCTATGTTTCCTGGTAAAATACAAAAAAAGAACACAGAATCATTTGGAGCTGTGGAATCCGTGGTGCTCTCTAAGCTTGGTTGGTTTCTTGTAGATGTTTTGTTGCTCAATTAGGTAACATTTTCAGAGCTAGAAGGGAGTAGAAAACTAGCACAGTTTTTTCCTGCAACTTCTTTCTTTTATTTGTCAGTTTTATTTAGCAATTATGATATTGTATTTGCCCACTTTGTAGGATTGTTGTTGTAAGGAGAAGGGTAAATTGCTTGGAACTCCAGCGTTGTCAGTGGGGGAGTTGTGGAGTTGTCCTGGGAAAATGCCTGTTCAATTCCATCCTCGGCCCCAGAAACTCTGAGGTGACTCTGGCCGCTCGCCCACCACCTGGCCTGCCCCACAGGGCTGTTGTGGCGTGGGAGAAAATAGCCCTGTGAGCTGCTGAAACTGATACTCTTAGTCCCCATTTAGTAATCCAAAGAGATAATCTGTCTTGCACCATCTCAGGACCCGACCATTTCATTTGGCTCTGCTTATAATTTTGGGTGGAGCAAACACAAACAGGTTTGGATCAGATCAGGATTAATCTTCGCTCCTCGATCATTCTTACCACCCACATGTCTCTTCCCCACCCCCCACCCCGCCCCAGTTTTCCAAATGGCTGAAAAGATGCGTCTTGACAGAAGTAGATTCCCCCAGATCTATTTGTTCTTTAAAACCCACCTGCCAAATCCATGCTGTCTTCCTCTTTGTCCAGCAGAGGGCAGTGTCTTCCCAGCCTTGGACCCCCCCCCCCCCCAGCAGCCTGGCCCTGAGGGGTGGGTGTGTGGCTGGGGAGAGAGTGAGATTTCAAAGATCAGAGAGACCGGAAGGGGCACACAGCATGCCCACATTGCAAAATTGCACAGGGAACATTCCCACTCCTGAGTAATCCAAATTTCCAATTGGCTGTACTCTTTTCTCTTGCCTTCAGATGTTGTGGGTGCTTCATCCCTGGAGTTTATGAGAAGAGACTGGACGGCCACTTCTCTCAAATTGTATTGGGTCTCCTGCTGGAGCAGGGGGATGGACTAGAAGACCTCCAAGGTCCCTTCCAGCTCTGTTCTAATTGATTGATTGATCTCTGTCAAATGCAACGCGCGCCTAGCGTAGCAAGCCCTGCGTCGAGCCCGATCTTTTGCCGAGCCTACCTGCCCCGAACCGGAGCCAAATTTATTTGGCGGGCTGCCAAAAAGAAGCAGAGAGCGTTGCTGCCCCTTCCTCTTTTTGCATGCATACACCTGGCGGGCGTCTCTTACCTGAAGGCAATGACGGGGGCAGCTGGGAGCAACGTCAGACCTTTGGTCAGACCTGCCAACACTCAAACCTCTAAATAGAAATGCTCCTTGGCTCTGTTAGAGGCAAAATCTGATCCTCTTCCAAGCCGGGAGAAGGACGCTGTAGAAATGAATGGAGGCAGGCTGCATTGGGGGGGGGGGGAGGTCTCTGTTTATTGGTAGCCAGAAACTACTCCGACAGCAAAATGTCTATGGAGATTCTCAGTCATCCAGGTAGGTCATCGTTATCCCAAAGATGCCTTTTTAGGAGGTAACTGGACTTTCTTGTTTTTCTTTGAAGATATTTCCCTTCTCATCCAGGAAGCTTCTTCAGCTCTGACTGGATGGTGGGGAAGGGAAGGAACGGGGTCACCTGAGTAGCGCAGATGGGTAGTAGTGCAAAAGCTGAAGAAACTTCTTGGCTGAGAAGTGAAACATATTCAAAGAAAAAAAACAAAGTCCAGTTGCCTCCTGAAAAAAGCACCTTTGGGATACAGTGACAGCTGCAGGTTTCTGGGGTGGCTGACAAAATGGGGTTGAGAGTAGGTGGGCTTTATACATTCTTTGGGGCTTTGTGATTGAGATGCCCAGGTTGGTTGTGAAATGTGTGCCCTTTGAGTATTCTAATTATTGTTGCCTGACTTAGTGTGGCTGGGAAGTTGTGTCCTGTAGAGAATGTAGATTTTCCTAAATAAATAAAACGTCTCACCCAGCACCCTCCAACCGAGATTGTTTTTAAGCCTTCGCTCTGCGACCCATTGTTGTAGTTCAAGGCTGTCCCATGTTAATGTAGCCTTGCATTCTCCCCACTTGCTGAGCAGAGCAGACTATAGCTTCAGGGCTGAGAGCATAGGTTCAAGAAAGAGCATGGACGCCCCCATTCCTCTCCCCAATATCTCTTCCCCCAAAAGCTCTGCCTTCTGCAAGTTATCAGTCAAGACTGAACAGTCTGGGGCATCTGTATAACAGAGAACTGATCCCCCTGGTTTGTCAGTAAAAGGGGAAGGATCAGGGGGTCCTTCAGAAATCCAAAAGGGCTAAGGGCAAAGTCCTGAGACAGCCAATAATCACCACTAAGTAACCTTGAAAACTGGCAGTACTCAGATAGGTCATTATTTGAAAAGCAACAGAGGAAAACACAACATAAACCATAAAACCTGCAGACTCTTTTTTATTAAATTCTCCCATTTCATCTGTACAGAAAAATGCACATTATGTTCAGTATTTCAGTTAACAATTCAAAATTACACAGCATGAACATGTAAAAACAGAATGGCCAAGAATTTGTACATAGATAAGGAAAAAAAAAACAATTTACAAAAAAATCATCTTAATATTACATTTTTAAAAAGAACCAAGATCAGCCAACATTTGCTGTTTTTTTTAATCCTTTATCATCTCTCCGATGGCTGCTTTTCAAAGCTGCAAGAAGAGCACTGAACATAACCTTGCTATGCCATTCCAAGTTGTTCCGTGCGTGTGTGTTTGTTTCAAATCCAATATATGGATCTGCAATAAAAAAAATCAAAATTGTGAGCATCAAATATTAGTTGGTTCTGGACTACCTTGCAGGGAAAATGCTTCTTGGTGCCAATTCAGAAAAATCCGGATACCTTTTCACCAGCTGTGGCACCACAGAGTGGGCCACGCTGCAAATCTGAAGCAGAGGAAACTTTTAACGCAAGTCCTACAAACTGCCCAACTGTAGCCAGTCGCTGCTGGCTCAAAAGGGTGGCAGTTTCCTCACAAATAATATAATGCTTGGTCCAAAACGCAGTTAGGTTCACTGTGTAGCCCCCCACCCACTTTGCAGAGGGTAAGGCCTTCTACCCTCCCTCTGCCTTCTAGCATGGGCCCACATGATGCTCTTTGCGGTGCCTTAATTTTGTCTCACTGAGACAAGGGGAACAGCCTGTCTGGTGCTGCTGTTTCCAGTTTTAGCTCTCTGAAGTGCAGCAGAGAAAAGAAAGTTGAATATACCTGTCTTGGGATAATGTTGCAGGACCCTGCATCCTTGCCAAGCTTAGGCAGAGAAGCCCTCAGCCCCCAACCTGTCGCCTTCTGCAAACAGTCGCAAAGCAAGCACCACAACTCTATACGGAAGTCCCAGCTAAGGAAGATTTTTAAAACAGTCTAAAACTGTAGCCTGGCAGAACATAGCATTACTGCCTTCTCCGCAGCAGAATTAATCCGGAGTGGCACAGCCTGAGTGGAAACGAAGCCTGATATCCTCTTCTCTATACTGACCTGTTCCAGAGGTTGAAACGTGAAGCGGAAGAGGCAGCCGGGGAGCCTCGCTGCAGAAAGTGCTGGGAAGGGGGACCACAGCCACACCCGAGGCTGACCAGAGCAGCGGCCTCTTAAGCCATGGGGCGGAGTGGGCAAACTATTCGGTCTTACTATGCCTAAACTGGAAATGCAGGAAAAGGCCACTACAGCTAGCTGAGGGAAAACCCACCACACACACAAAATATGTGGGTGTTGTGTAATTTTCTAAGACATAGTAGCTAAAACGACGGGGGGGCATACAGGGACATTTACCTTCATCAGCAAATACGGCAAGACAGCCAAGACCAACCCAGGTGCCTTGCTGGCATCTTGCCCAATTGTACAATTCTAAATGAAACTTGCCTGGGACTCTGGCTTGCTATAGTTTAACCTTTTTAAGTGCTCTGTAGTCCATAATCCACAGCCAGCCTCTCTACAGAGCTGAAACGTCCTATTGCCTTCTCCCCTTCTGCGTTTCCCAATTCTGGCCTCTCGCATATCCAAATTTGTGCCAATCACAAATCTCAAATCTCAAGACTGTGGCTAAGGTCTCTAGGAGAAAGGATCCCGATTTCTGCTTCAAGCAAACCACTGTCAGACAAAATACTGGAGTTGCTTTTAGATCCTGCAGAGGAGAAAGACGCCAGGCTGTGCAGCATCCACCCACGGGGCTCTTATATCCTGAGTCTTTTACCAGCCCCACCTTCTAGAATGGGTGGGGAACGATGGCCCTTTTATGACTTGCGGACTTCAACTCCCAGAACTCCTGAGCCAGAATTCTGCGAGTTGAAGTCCACAAGTCACAGAAAGGGCCGCCGTTCCCCACCCCATTCTAGAAGATCCAGGGAGAACCCAAAAAGAACAGTGATCCAAGAAGAAAGAATCAGTAGTCATTTAAAAAATAAAACTCCACCAAAAGGAAACAAAACCAGATACCACATTGCTCATTTTCCAGTATGAAGTCTCCTAAAGTTAACTTTGTAGAAAACACCATTCACCAAGACTTCAGAGCAGCAGAAAATATTCACAGTACTGTTAACGAGCGACAGCTTGTCCAAACACTCTGATCGCCTGGTCCCTTGACAGAAACACCCTCTGCTTTCCAGAAGTTAAATGCAAAAAAATCTAGAAAGGTAAAAATCTGCCTAGCAAGTGCAATACTTGTATGAGCTGGAACATGCCAGGGAAAATGGAGAGGGGTGAGCAATTAAGCTTTGCACTGGCCAGCGTACATGATTTAGCCCCAGCATACGCAGGCAGACCTCTGGCCAAGAGGTTAAAAGACTGTCCCATGTGCCAACAAAAGAGCTTGTGCAGCTTCTTTTACTCCCCAATCGGGTCAAGAGTAGCATCCAGGTTCAGACCAGGAGGGCTATTCGTAGTGCTGCTTCAGAAAAATTACCACTTCCTGTCAAATGAGAGAGAAAAGAGTCCCCACCACCCCATTCTTGCTCAGGGACGGAGTTTCCTACTTCTCAAGCCTGACAATCTCTTCAGCTTGATTCTTGAGAGCGTGAAGCCCTCTCCCCTTGCGATCAATGCTGGACCTGCATATGGGGGAAGAGGGTCACCTGCTAATCCTCATCCCAGCAATGGCTCCCCTCTTTCGGGGGCCCAAACCTTCGGGGTAACTTTCCGAGGTGTCTAACTTGCTGTGCAGCTTTGCATCTCCACCTGCCTCATCTAACAGGTGTAGCTTTGCGAGGGGAACCTATAAAACCACTGGACTTTGTTTCTTGTGGTCGATATTTTATTAATCCCAAAGACAATGGAGAAAATGAACGGCTTTGCCTTTTGGCAGAAACTGAGGAACAAACCAGCAAGGAAAGGAAAGGAAAGGAAAGGAAAGGAAAGGAAAGGAAAGGAAAGGAAAGGAAAGGAAAAATGCACACAAACAGAACCTTGTGACAGACAGAGGAGACTGGTGGAGATGGTATCCTCTGAGACCATTTTGCTGACAGATTATGAGCCGAAGATGCTGGTTCATTGGCCAACTAGATTTCCAAACCGGGGTCGGTTGTGAGCGGTGGGTAACGTCCCATCCTTTCAAGTCCCGCCTAACCTCGGAGCGCAAGTATTTCCTCACCGAGACACACTGCCCAAATTATGCCAAGAACGGAATCTTTAAAAGGTTGACTTTAAAAACCTCCCGGGCTGGTTTGGAGCGTGTGAAGAAGGTAGTTCAACAGTACAAGGAAAAAAAAAAAAAAAGAAAGAGCTTTGTCTACAGGCAGGCAAACAACCGTGGCTAACGATGGGGTAACAAAGCTGCTGGACAAGATGGGGGACCCAGCCGACACACGAGCTGCCGCTGCTGCTGCTGTTCTAATTGGCTTGTATTGTCTGAAGGAGAGCGAGGTGGGGAGGGAGACTATACAGAGAAGACTGTACAAATTGGGCAGGCCTTCCTCCTTCCCTCTGACGACCAAGGTTGCCTCTACCTGTCCTTCAGTTCTCGTGTCACTCGCTTAGTGATACGCCCGCACATCAGACCAATCAGGAACAGGACGCAGATGCCTGCACTGATCACAGACAGGATGTAGTTCTTGGATGGAGACGTCACCACTTGCATGGCGAGATCCGAAAAGCCTTCTGCGGGGGCCACCTGGCAGGAGGAAAAGGATCGGTCAGCTACCAAGCCCAGGGAAAGGCAACCAACCCAACCCAGCCAAGAGAGGTGAAATTGGGTTGCCAAGGCAGGAGTCAAACAATAGACTCTTCCAATAAAGCTATCCCAGGGTCATGTAATCATTCTTTGCAACCTTTCCAGCCAGCTTCCAACAGGCAGTCAACGGGGGAGCTAGATTCGCTTTAACAAGCACATGATTCACTTAAGAACCACAGGGATTTGCTCAACAAATGTGGCAAAAAAGATTGCAAAATCAGACACAATTCATTTGACAATCGCCTTGCCTGGTAATGGAAATTCTGATCCTAACTGGATGGGGAGGAGTCCCAACCTACCTGCAAGGACACCAAACATTTCCGAGGACCTGTTTTACCCCCCCCTTCACTTCCAGACATGCAAATGACTCTTCTCTTCACATTTAAGAAAGAGGCAGGTGCCACCTCGCTCACCTTTGCGGCAAAGCTCCACATCTCAATGCGGTCATTAAGGCGTTTTTTGCACTCTGGCTGTAACCGGACCCGCTTGTCCTCCAGGGCCTCCATGAGGCAGGACATCTCTGCAGAATGAAGGAACCGCGGTCATAAAAGGCAGGCTCCCTTGAAGGGGTCAGGGAAGCCCCTGCCACACTGCAAACCACGAATAGGGCAGAATCCCCAGAAAGGAGGCTCCCCTTAGTGCAGGGATAGCCAGCCAGGAACAGCCTGGTGGGGAATAGCCTTGTGGTCTTCAGCACTCCACAGACTGATCAGTTAGTGCAAAACTTACGTCGGCCTCTTCCTGGAGTGATGGCAGCACAGTGGTGCTTGATGTCCAGCGCACAGGCTGTGTGAAGGACGGGATCCACAAAAATATCAGCCTTACTTTCTTTCAGCATGTTCAGCACCTCCTGCAGAGCAGAAAGTCACAAGGATCGTGATCAGCTATGAACCCAAGTCGTTCTTGAGCCAATGGAAACGGAAGGGCTTGGGGTGTAAGCGTGAAGAGGAAGCGAAGCGCAGAACAAATATGTTCAGTGCTCATCCAGGGAGGTGAGTTCTGGATGTACCACTAGCTGGCAGTTAAAATTAATGTGACATGAAACCCTTGCAAGGCTACTGTCGGGGTGGACGACTGTGGCTGCATCTCAACAATGCCTTAAAGAGGGAAGAGGGGAGCAAATGAGCCATTCCAGGTGGAACAGAGGTTAGGGAGAGATGCAAATCAAAATAAAATTATCAGTTGGAACCCCTAAAGGACTAGGGGGCAGATGATAGCACTGTTCCAGTATTTGAGAGGCTGCCACAAAGAAGGGGGGGGCAACTTATTCTCCAAAGTGCCTGAAGGCAAGACAAGAAACACTGGATGGAAGCTAATCAAGGAGAGAAGCAACCTGGAACTAAGGAGAAACTTCCTAAGAGTGAGGACAATTAATCCGTGGAACAGTTTGCCTCCAGAAGTTGTGCGTGCTTCATCACTGGAGGTTTACCGGACAGTCACTTGTTTGAAATGGCATAGGGTCTCCTGTTTGAGCAGGAGGTTGGACTAGAAGACCTCCAAGGTCCCTTCCAGCTCCATTCTGATTGATTGATTGATTGAAAGATGCCATTTAAAGACCAGAATCCTGATTCCAGATGCCTCCCAAAGACAGACAAATGCTACTGACTCTGAGATGCATCCATTCCCTTTGAAGATGAGAGCCGGTGCTTTTATCTGCCTGTCCATTAAGGCTGCAGCAGGACCACTCACCTTTTTGCACATCTCTGCTTTAATTTTGAGCAAATTCACTTTCAGGCACTCTTCCACTTGCCCTGTCTGTTCCTGGGCTGCAGCTTCCTCTGCACACAGGGCAAAAATCTGTAAGGATAAAGCACGTTTGAATGTAACCATCCACAGCACAACCTAGCAAAATATTTATAAGAGAGAACAGAAACGTGGAACATGTGAACAAGTTTTCCAAGTATGGCAGCAAACAAAGGGGAAGCAATGCTGTCCCGCCGCCCGTGACAAGTGGATTTGTGCTCAAAATAGTTTATTCTTGCATTTTCAGAGCCATATATTTAAGGATAGAAGCTTTAGCTGAGGACTGTGGCCTAAGATCAAATTTAGAAGCTAGTCATTTAAGGCGATGCCAGCTTGGTAATAATAGGTTTAAAAACATCATGGAATGGGAAGTGCTCAGGGCTGAAAAGCCTTCGGCAGTGTGCTATGGCTATTACAGAGGCAAATGGGATTTTAGATTACATCAATACAAGCAGAGTTTCCAAATGTGGGAAGTCATCCTTTCCATATATTCTGCGTCAGTCCAACCTCAAGCACTGTGTCCAATTATGGGTGCCACATTTTTAGTAAGATTCAGAGAAGCTGGAACAGGTTCGCACAGCCAGGCAACATGGATTTGCAAGGGATTGGAAAAACAGCTTAGGGAGAAAGGCCGAGGGAATCTGGTTAGACCGAAGGTGGGAGAGGTTAGCGGAGAGCCCTTCTCAAAAACTGAGAAATGTGGGCAAAAAGAAGGTTCTGCGTTGTTCCAGAAAAACAGGACACGGAATGGGAGTTAAGTTCTTCTTCCTAACAGTTTTGCCGTCGCTGAACGTGCTCCAGACAGCTATAAATCTGAACTGCTTTGCAGGCTTAAATTTAAATTTATGTATTTTGGATTCTGGCACTGAACAGGAAGTCAGATTCAATTGCTGCACTGGCCTCTTTCAATTCAACAGCTCGGAGTGTTCGCAAGTTCAGATTTTCTCACAAGTATCAGAGAAACACCCCTGGGAATTCCTGCAGACCTAGATGGCTGTGCTACAGAGAGGGCTGCTCCAGGATTCACCCCAAGAACGCAAATGCTTGTTTTTGATCAAAAAGAGAGAAGCGGAAGGTATAAACTGAGCAGACTGCAGCAATGCCAAAATACTGACTGGCAGCTGCATTTTCTCTGCAGTAGAATGGTATTAAATGGCAGGAATTCCAGCTTTTAGGTTTTGCTTTTTTCCAAAGTGCACAGGGTAGAGTTATTTTCACAGAGATTTTAAGCTGCAGAAAGACAAATTGGGGAACCAGACTCCATTAGCATTAGGAAAAAAGCCCCCCCCCCCAAATAAAGAAATTTAATGAACAAGCTGAGTTCCAAATGGATCAATACCAGAGGACAGTTCTGTTATATGATACTGAACTGGTTTTCCACAATGTTCCCTTCCATTCACAAATGTACTTCCTGTGAGTGATGGCAATCACGATAAAGGGATTCACAGAGATTTACAGCCCAGTTCGTGGCTCCTATTATTTAAATGATGTGGTTAAGAGTTATAAGAACTTGTCAACATATTTGAGGGGAAGGAGGACTGAATCTGGAAGCTCCCACCTCTTCTGAGCAGTGCATTTGCAACTGGGGATCTAACCGGTAATCCAGAGCAGATTCCTCAATGATCACTCGAATCTGATCTTCGCAGTCTGAAGAAAGACGCTGTTCAAAAACAAAGACAAGAATCATCACAGCGAAGAAGAACCAAGTCTGACATCAGTCTCGGCACCCGACTTGTCGTGCAGCTGAACGGAGACAAAAGCTGGCCATTTGTTGGTATCTAGCCTTACAGAATAAAAATCCTCTACAAACTGTTTCAAGCTACATTGTAAAACAGTTGTAAAACAAAACACAATACGTATTTTGTTCAAAAGCAGTTGATCTTGATGGCAGTTGATGGGATAGCTAGACCTGCCTTTTCACATCTGCTTTGTTTTTCTTGTTTCTGTAAAGCCACAACTGTAGCTGTTTTGTCTTTTCAGCACAATGAAAAGGAGGCCGGGAATCCAATCTTATCTCCAAAGCAACAAACAGCAATTTGTGTCATCAATCTCATATTTTTTCAGGGTTTCAGAGAAGCAGACTCTTCACCCAGCTAACCTCTCAGGTAAAGCCCTTCAGCCCCACAGCCATTTGTTGGTTTCCTGGCTAGACAGCTGGATTACACAAATACATTTTGAAGCCTGCTTGGTGACCCAGATCAGTAATGCCAAACTAGCAAGTCAGTGAAAGTGCATGGCAACATCAGCCTTTCTTTTCTAGGTGCTTAGTGGGTTTCCAAATTCTTAAGAATGACTGAACTGGGAAGGAACTGCAGAAGTCAGCTCACACATCTGGCAGACAGATGGACTGAGAAGCCTGTGACCTGCAAAACCCTATCAAAGGTGCAAGATTGACACAGACTTTTAAGACATTTTAATGCCAGGAATTAGACGATCGGAACCCGCCAGCTTAGTGAGCGCATTAAAGCAGGTCTCCTCCTTGATCTCCTTTTCCTGGCATGTTTGTGTGACAGCCAAAGAGGCCGTTTAGTTGATAAGCTTGTAATGGGATCCCTCTTTGGGTTGAGGCAGCTTTCTCTTTCTTTCTCAATTTCTACAGAAGTGGGAAAGGAACTCTAGTCTAGTGGACTGTCCTGCCTCTGTCTGTTCTGGCCAGCAGGTGGGACATCATTACCTGGTCTGCATATTTCAGTTTCAGGCAGGATATGACCTGCCCTTCCAGCTCTGACTCCTCCTTGGCTTTACTCAAAATGCTCTGGCAGAATTTGGGAATGTCTGCTTTGCAGGCCTTCCTGAGCACTGGATTCAGGCGGTAATCTGCCAGAGAGAAAAAGGTGAAATCAGGCTTTAAGATTCACGGGAGAGGCATCTCTGCAGCGCTGAAGCTCAGAAATCATCAGAATGCTCTCTAAGGGAGCAAATTGCAAAGGCTCACCTCCAAGAAAGGTCTGGAATACAGTTCCTAGACACTTAGCAATTTCATTTTTAAGTTGTGCAAATGTGCACAGATAATGACCACCCTAAAAGATAGCTTCACTGAACTGCAGACAATGCTTGCTGGAATCTCAAAAGGCAGAGGCAATGGTTGAATCAGATCCTCTTTGTCTGGTTAAATGAGAATTCAAAATTACCACGATTCTTATGTTGAGCAAGATAGCCTATAACCCAAGGCTTTTCCAAGTTCAATAGCTTTTTCCATTGTGGGTTAATGCAGAGTTCTCTCTCCCTCTCTCTACTTTTCCCTATCCTTCTTTTGTGGTTGCACGTTCAGTTTTTATCAAATTCATCTCTTTGTCTATGCCAAAGTCCCTCCCAACGCTAGCTGGGATTCTTTCAACCAGCAAAAATCCAAATTTGGAACTTTCCATAAGCCGGGCAAATTCTTCTTCTCTAAACTAGAACATTTCCTCCATGGTTCAAATATATTTAGTAACTTGCAACCAAGTGCTTCACTTGGAAGGCACCTGCCTAGGGTAGATTTGAGCGGACATAAAATGCACACACTACAGAAAAGCAAGCGTGACATTCTGCCCAGAAAAGCTGTCGAGGCGGGGTGATTTCAAATGCAGAGAGGTGGCCGGAAATCAGAGTCTCAGTGCTGCGTAATAAAAGCAAACAACAAGCACAAATAATACAACTCCAGAACAAGAAAGCAGAGGAGCCTGTATAAGGAACGTGATCCAAGAAAAGTGTGGATCATTTTTGTGGGGTTTCAATTCACTTTGAAGCCCCAAAGGCAACTTGTCCTGCGTGGCCAACAAAATTTCACCACAAATGAAGGCAGAGACCCTTCCATCCTGGTTACACGCAGCCACAGACCATTACCTGTGTTCTGGGTGATCTGGCGCTTTGTGATCATCTGCTTGCATTTGGGATCCATCACCTCGCTGTTTTTGTTCTGTTTCAAGCACTGCAGCATGTTCTTGGCGTCTGCTTCTGGGCAGAACCTCTGCCAAGGAAGACAAGAAGCAACAACTCAGCAAGGAGACACAGAAACATCTCCCATGCTTGGACATTAGCTCCAAGTGGGAAGCGGTGCAGGAAGGCAAAGCCAGGCAGGGTGGAGAACCTCCTGCCTGGACCAGCTCTGAGGTCCATCCTCCCTCCAGGTCCCAGGCACAGCACAGGGAGCTCTGGACCGCCCTGAAATGCCTGCGCCATTTGGGTTCTCCCCAATTATGTGGTGCATGGTTTGAGAGCCATCCCTATTGAAGCAAATCTCTCTAAGAGAGAATGAGCTTCTTAGGAAGAGACGCCCCACTGCCTGAGTGATCCTACCAAACACTACAAACCCTAAATGGAGTCTCGGGGCTCCCTATTTTGAGATTTTTGCCAGGAACAGAAATGTAGGCATGCATTTTGGAAGAATGGTCCAGGAGCCCCATGCCTTTCCTTCGAGTGTGTGTGCGCCTTCAATTCAGTGCCGACTCCTGCCACTACATGCCCTACATGGACAGTCGCTTGTCTGAGATGGTATAGGGTCTCTTGCTTGAGTAGGGGGTTGGACTAGAAGACCTCCAAGGTCTCTTCCAGCTCTATTCTGATTGAAGTCAGATTAGAATACGTGTTCAGTGGTATGTCAAGTTGTCTACCTTTCCCTCAAATGCCCAGTCCAAGATGTTCCTGGGGCAAGAACTGGTCATCCTTACCTTGATCATCTGTTTGCAGACCCGCATGAGGGTGTAATCCAGCTCTGGATCCATCATCTCCGTCTCTTGGAGTTTGAAGACTTTTTGATGGCAGCGGCTGCTTAGCTGTTTCTTGTTTTCTTTCAAACACTCAATGATCTGCAGGGAGAGGAGGTGATTGAGAAATCATTGAGGAGCACAAACTATAGGAGGGCACCACTGATAAAACAGAACTGGGATTAGGTGAAAGACTACACTCTTTGGTCATTTTAAAAATATGCTAGTCTATCTCAGGTACAATCTGATAGCAATTTATGGAAGTTTTGTAAATCACATCTAAAACTTAAAAGGATGGCGTGAAGATTGGAGACTCTGTACTAGCCTTGCTTATTAAACATTTATCATTTTACTGCTTAAAAGCTGCCTTATCGGCGAGACAGGTGGCATATAAATTAGATAAATACACACATACCATACATTCATACCCTCAATTAGCAAGTCTCACAAGGACTGGCAAAGGCAAGCTCAAATCCTGCTCAGGCATCACTGCTTAGGTTGTGGCAATAAAATATATGAGATGTGGAGACCAGGAACGTTAACACCTTGGAGAAAATGTGATGAATGTGTACACGACCCCTGTGAATGCATCTATACAAGCCTGTCACCTGGGCATTGCCGTAGGGAACATTCTGGCAGTAGCTCTTAATGTCAGTTTTGCACGCTTCGTGAAGATCTGGTTCCAGGCGGATATCTTCAGTCTGCAAGAAAAATTCAGATCCAAGAGGAATGTGAGACAGGAGCAGCCACTGAAGCCCAACAAACTGGCAGCTTTTTTTTTTTTTTTTAAGACCAAACCAAAGTCACAAAACACTCTTCAAGATCCCAGGAAACCCTTCAGCCGATTCCCAGTCCTGCAGGAGGGTGGAAGGAAGGAAGGAAGGAAGGACAGGCATTCAAAGCACAATGTCTGTCCTCAGGCTGAGCCTTAAGACGCAGCGTAAAAGGGTGATTTAGGACTGAGCTCTCCTCAGCTGTCTTCCAGGAAGAGTCTGGGATGCGCCCAAGCCTGCCTCAAAAACCTGACAAGGAAAAATTTCGAGACTGGAGGGATCAGACTAGGCAACACACTGGCATCCTGGACACAGACCTAACACAAGGAGACCGCCTTCTCGTGGCAAAATGCCAGCATGGAATACCAATGGCTGCAGAGGATAATTAGTGGGAAACACATGAGCAATGAGTGGCAGCCTGTGTTTTTAACCGGCGTCCCAGCATATTCCCTGAGAAGCCTGTGCCAGACAGACAGCAGACAGGCCCATTTACCATCTCCAACTCCTCGACCCGTAGCTGCTTGCGGCATTTCACAGAGACCCGGTGCTCTTTGGCATCCTGCAGGGTATCGTTGCGCACTGTGGTACTCAGGCAGATCACCACATCCACCCTGAAGAAGAAGAAGAAGAAAGAGGCATGTTGTCTCCCACAGACCAGATGACAGACCAACTAGGTTGCCCCCAAGCTAGGGAGGAAACCCACAGACGTACTTTTTCTTGATGTTGGGACACAATTTCAGTACATCTTCCTTGCAGGCCATTTTAAATTTGTAGGAGAACCTGAAATCCTTCATTTGTATCTGAGCAAAGAAAAGAGAGCAGAGAGTATCAGTCCTCAACTCCCTGAATGTCTCCCTCCAGTCTAGCAAAGTTCTGGTGGAGCGACATATAAATGGCTGGGAATAAATGAATAAAATGGCTCTACTCACTAGCTGGAAATGCGTAACTCCAACTGCACACTTCTCATTCATCTCCTTCTGATGCTTATTCTGAACGAGACACTCCATGAGGTCTCCGGAGTCAATTTGGTTGTCTGCCATTTCCTGAAGGGGAGATGGAACAATTAGAGGCATATAATGACTGTCTGGCAGAAACTTGTTCCCTTCTTGGCAGCTTCCACTGTCAAATTAAGAAAGACATAAATCATAACTTGGAAGAGTCTCAAGGGGTCTGCTTGAACTCAATTATCACCTGAGAAGGTGAGGAAGAAACAGCCAGTCTTGGCCCCAGAACGATCCAGTGGCCCTCAGTCCTATTTCCAGCAACCACTAATTCCATTTCCACTTGCACTCTCAACCACCTGCTGCCAAGGGAATTTAAAGTTGCAACCCAGCGCACATTCTGAGCAGGGCAAAGTGGGAAAAGCTACAACACAAGCAAGATTAACTATTGTATGTCCCCTCAACGCCAAATTCTCTCATTAAATGCTATTCAAGCCCCACAGGGACAGGGGCCCAAAAGTTAAAATTCTGTTCCCACAAGAGCCAGAAATTCTATGCAGAGTAAAATTTGAAATCCTTTGTGGCATATTTCTTCTATTCCAAAATGCCGGTTTCGCTTTGCTCCATTATGCAGAGTTCTAAAGCAGAACTGCAAGGGTATTGTCTCCAGCTTCCAAGAAGGAACACTTAACAGGAAGGCACCAGGAGAAAAGCATCACTTACATGGCAGAAGGTCTGGATGATGGGTTCACATGCTCGCATCAGCAAGGCTTCTATCTGGATATCCTGTCAGAGGAATCCAGAAATCAGTCAGTTCAGTCTAGGTCATGCCCAATTTTTAACACAAACGATGCTCTTAGATAGTTAACACTCTGGTTCCAATACTGACAATTAAAATGACAATTAAATAGTTACCAGCCCATAAATACCACAGGGGGTGCCAGAGACGACAGCAGTGCTATCCTACAGTTCATTTGTCCTCCTAAGAATTTAAAGCCATCTTATTTCCCATTCCCATAACATCTCTTTGTTTTCCTGCACAACTAGGTACGGATGTTCCCCTCATCCACGAGGCTTACCGTTTGATTCTCTCTCTCTCTCTCTCTTTTTTTTTTTTTTTTTTTTACAGAAAATTGCTTTCTCCATCAGGCCCTCTTATAGCATCCCCCCTTGTTTAATCTAACAATTCTTCATTCTATTTTATGAAGGGATATCTGGACATTTGCGCCAATCCCATGACTTTTCCTTAAGCATCTCAGCAAGCATTGCAGCATGTGCAAATATTACATTTCCACTGGCTGCAAATAAATGCCCCTTTTTTTCAGGTCAGCTCATACAGATCACAAGCCTTGCACGTCACAATTTGTCTGGTCCTTTCCCTATCACTTGTTTAAAGCACCACCAATAAAAAGGCTTTTATTTCTTCTTGTTTCTTCTCACACACTCAGATTAGGCCAAGTATGTATGTCAAGCTTGAGAAAGAAAAATGGAGACTCCTCCATTTAATTCTACTGCCAAGCTGCTGTTAAGTCTCTCTGCTGACTCAACTGACGAAAACTCCCTGGAAACTGGCTACTTGATATTTTTGCTATGTTTCCGCAGCAGCCTTCTCAGCAAGAAGGAATCACCCAACAAACATCTGTTTAATGTACAGATACAACAATTATAATAAACAAGGTAGGGAAAATGTGCAGAGCAGGACTTCTGGAATTCTATTTTTTTCTCCACAGCCAGAAACTGGATTCATTCCACTTTGGGATTCAAATTTTCTTTTTCCTGACTTCTTCCACCATGCCAAGTTTGATTCCCATTCCTTTCTGGGGGTTCTTTTTAGAGGTAAGGCACAGATGGACAGATTCTGGACCAAGTCTCTTCACATAATTTCTTATTTTGGATTGGAAAGAATCAAAGGCAAAATCCATCCTTTGCTTATTTGTCAACAGATTTGTCTGCCTATCTGCCACAATTTCCAGGGACAGCAGCATTTGGTTATTTTGCAATGTCCACCCATTCTGGACACTGGAAGATAAAGCACAGCTTGCAATCCACTAACCATGACTCAGGGTAAAAGTGCCACAGAAGAGTGGAGCTTCTCCTTTTGAAGAAGCCACCTCACCTCAGATTCCAGCTCTGTAAGGTTTCCGACAACCTCTCTGCAGTCAGTTACCAGATCCTCCAGATGATCTTGTAGACATTCAAGTTCCTGCACATAAAAAAAAAAAAAAAATCCACACATAATATCTTAGGCCAATTTGATTATTCCTTTGAGAATCCCCCAAATGCACAATAAAATAAGTCACAATTCTTGCTCCTGGTTGGATTGAAGTAGGTGTCAACATACTTTTCTTCAGGTTTGGAATATGAGCAGTTCTAGCCCCCAAATGTAACAATTCCAGTCTAGTCTAGTCTAATCTAGTTTAGTCTAATTCTGAAAAGAATGAATGCCAGCGTTACCTGTCCAGTTTCGGTTTTCTCACTGCACCACTTCCCCAAATCTATCATGCACTTGTCCTGGAGGGCTGGATCTAGTTTCACATCCAATGCACGCTGATGCAGAATTCGCTGTACTTCTGCTCTGCATTCTCGGGATAGCTACCAAAGACAAATATGGACATTTGCGGTGAACAAACCCACCCACTTAAAAAAATTGTTCTTTTCTTCCAGATGCAGACACCAATTCTCCTGCTGTTCCTGGCCAAACCCAGTGTCCGGCTAAAACATTGTCTCCTTTGGGGCTTACTTTCTTTGTAGTTCCTTTCCAATTCTTACTTTCACTGATATTTGAATGACTAAAAAGTATTTAATCAGAAAGTACTTAAATAAATTACAAGGAGGCAGCAACTGAACCAATTAAGTCAAGTTACAAGTTACTACTTCAGGAACTAAACCCACGGCATGCTCCCAAACCCTATTTATTCTCTGAGAAGCACTAAGACATGTTAAGATGATGAGGGGATGATGCCTACCCTTCTTCCCTGCTCTTCTGTGCGATAAGCATGTCTGTATAGGCAGGAGAAGATTGCTCCAGGAGGAATCGTGTCACTTGTTTCATTCCAACCGTGTGTGTGACACAGTCGAGATGCATCTCCTTGGCACTTACGGTAGAGGACAGAATCCAACCTAGGGGAGCAAAAAGAGCCTCACCGTGAGATTCCCGGGTGACCCCATCGCGGCAATGGACCAGGGAGGAGGTTCCATTATGGCAGGCAAGGCCTCTCAAAGCCCCAACCCCGCACTCACTTCCAATCCCGTGAAATAAAGTACTGAAGCTCTAAGAGCCTGTGTTCACAGTCCTCCACCATCTTCTCTGTGTACAGGTGCTCCATGAGGCAAGAAAGAATCCTGCAGGAGAAGCAGGAGGGTTAAGACTGCAAGATGTAATGTATCATCACAACACCAAACTCTTCTATTCTTACTTAGTCCAAATCCCCCCTCTGCAGGAGACACCTTGAATTCTTCCCTCTCCCTGTAGGTTCCTATCCCAAAGAAACACGTAACAAAGGCGGGCGAAAAAGGCAGGGCTTGATCACCTACATGGGATCTCCGGAACGGATGTGCTTGCAGGCCGTTTGTATCACTGACTCGCAGGCTTCATTCAAAGCTCGATCAATGCGATAATCAGCCACAGGATCTACTTCCTGGATCAGAGTCTGAAGCTGAAGGAGGGAGAAAATCAAAACTTAATACCCAGAGTCCTTGTCGGGATGAGCAGCTGTCTCTCCGCCACTTAAATTCAGGGCTCGGCTCTTGTTTTTGAAGCACAGATGTCACCCACTCCTTGCAACTACAATGTGGCTAACAGCCCACCAAAGAGAGGTGGTTTTGGGCAAAGGGTCTTTCAAGCCTAACCCAATCAAAGAGCAAATGGCTGAACTTTCCCCACAATGGATGAATGGTTGCAAAAGCTGATGGAGTTAGCGGAGATGACTAAATGGACCTCTTGGATAAAAGAAAAAAAAAACACACATACTTTTGTTTCTACTTGGAAACCGTTTCTGGACTTTGTGCTTGAGGTGGAAAAAAATGAAACTTTGTTTTTGGATTTTACCGATTAGATAGATCTGTTGTTATAGAAATGGCTAGTTTATACTATTGTGTAAAAAGTTGAGGTTTGATGTTACTTCTTATTTTAACGCACTGAGGTTAAAATGCCAGCTCGGCTTCAGTGAAAGCTATTCCCTGTGTTGCCGTGGCAGCTGGAAAGGAATTAGGGGAATTCAACAGACTTGGGTCCTTTAAGGCAGGGGCCCTCAACCCCCTGGGTGGCAGCCACTATTGGGCCTGTTCAGAACCAGGCCATGGAGGCGGAAGGCAAGCGCACACCACATGCAGCGGGCGTGCACATGTCGGCCACTTGCGCAAACGGAGCGCCACATATACGCTCGCCCACTGCTCATGCCAGAACCATCCCCCCCCCCGGTCTGCAAAGTCGGAAAGGTTAGAGAGACGGCTGCTTTAAGGGGCAGGGTTCCTGCCGAAGAGCCCACTGCTTTGTGCGCAGAGCCCAGAAAGGATATGCCCAAGATGGTAACATTCAGCAAGCACCAAACGGGCACGTGCAGGTGAGGAAACGGCAGGTGAAGACTGCCCCTCCCCCCCCGCCAAACAAAGCTTACTGAATGCTGGCAGCTGTCTCCCAAGTTGCCCTTCTCTCCCCGAACCACTTTCATCAGACAGTGCAGGGTGCGGCCCTTTCGATGCAGCCCTGAGCAATGGTGCTCGATCTCCGTGCGGCAACCCAGGATGATTTCTGGGCTCAGGGAGAAGTCCTCCATCAGCATCCGCCTGTAGTCCAGCATTTCCCCCTGGCACTCGCTGCTTATCTGTCGACCTGGGGCAAATCAGAGGAGATTCAGGTAGGGTGGAATAGAGTCCCAGCGATACACAAGCCCTCGCCTGCCTTGGGAGTGTCAGACTGGCACGTTGGAAGAACTGCTCCAGCTACAACTCGTGTGCAACTTGTTGCAATAATGAAGGCTGGGGATGGATTTTCCACTTGGAAATTTTACATTTATTTCAGCATCAGAAAGCTGATAAAAAAGGACTCCAGTGAGCAGAAGGGATGGAGCTGAGGAAGGCACCAACCCAGCTATCGGCAGTTTTAGTGTTTTCAGGTTTAATCCTTTTCCTAACAGAGTATTGCTTTAAATTGCTCGCGTACATATCTGAACACATTTTGTTTTGCATCTGCCACCTCTTTTATTGAACACAGTAAGCCAGCTCCCACTGTCTTCGTTGGGAAAAGTGCATGGAATTTTAGACCTACTCACTGGACAGACTTCCTGCAACTGGCAATTACTCAATCTTGCATTTTAGCATAGACGCATTTTGGCCAATTCCTCTTTACAGAAATTCTTTGACTCGGTAATATCTGGAGTTCGTCTTCCACGGCTGCTCGTGTCGGATGACACTACGACAACTCAGGTGGGTTAAAAGTCTTTAATTTGCCATTCCAAAATTCAAAATTTTCTTTTGGCCCAGCTGACTATCAGGAATTCATTTCACTCAGAATTGTGGTCACGCTGCATCACTTATATCTGTTTAAGCTTCGTCTCACAGAAATACACCCTGACGTTCTCCTGTAGAATTTGCTGGTATTATCCAGAATCCATTGCTCACACAGCCATTGAGAGCTCCACAGCAGCCCCAGGCCATGATACTCCCGCTATCATGCTTCACAGTTGAATGAGGCTCTTTTATTGAAATGCAATGTTTCATTGTCCTCTATACAGCGTTTCTCATTAACGCTCCAAAGTCCCGCTTGGTCAGTCTCAGCTACTGACAAAACATTGTTCCAATAGCCTGTGGGTCATTCAGACCGTCTTTGGTCAACCTGAGACAGACAGTAATGCACTTTCTGAAAAGTAATGATTTTCTCCTTAATATCTTCCTGTGCCGACTGTTCTTCTTCAGTGCTGTCCTGATGGTATCCTCATGAAGACTGAGATCAGGTAACACAAGGGCTAGTAGATCCTTTATCATTACCTCGGGGTTCTTTGGGCCCCTTGATCTTCGGATGATCAGTTCTCAGAAAAGTAACAAGGTGCTGCTCCATTCGTACACCATCTGCCTGACTGGAATCCAACGTCTCTGGAAATTGCTTTGTAGCCCTTTCCAGCCTCGTGAACATCATCAATCCGTGTTCCAAGGACCACAAAGCTCTCTTTTAACTGTGACATGATTGATTGCCACTACTTTCTCCTGTGAAGAGAAGCGCCAAGAGGGCAAACAAATTAGGTCTTTTTTTTTTTTTTTTTTGAAGATATGGAGCTGCTCAAACATGCCCTGAAACTCACAATCGTCTTCTGATGGATGACTCTACATACACTTCCCAACAAAGACAGTGGATATTGGCTCAAAGTGTTCAATAAAGCTACCTGTTTAGTCGGTTTCTCTTGATCTATTAATAGTCTTTAGATTAAGCTCTGATTGTTTTGAAGGTCACAGTTCTGCAGGATTATGGATGGAGCTAAAGCAGGGTGTTTGTATGGACTATAAGTCCCACAATTCTGGGAGTTGAAGTCCACACATCTAGATGTTGCCAAGTTTGAAAATGCTGTTCTAAAAAAGGATTGCCAACTTTGGTGTCACCACTATACATACTAATTCAGGGGTAATCAGGTTGGCTCCAAATTCAATTCAAAATATAAAATTGGCTTTAATACTCCAATAGCCTAGAGCTCAACCTTCCTACAAAAGCTGATAAAAAATGTTTTGTTGACCAATGTCAACAGCTGACCCGTCAGGAGCAAGGAACCAGAATGACACTGAACCTGGATCAGAATAATATGGTGGGTTTTTTTTACTCACCTGCTTGCAAGAATATTTCCAAACTAAATGCACTTTCTAGAAAACAGTCAGAGTTGGAGGGGGGGGGGGGTCAGTTTTCTGTGGCTTCTTCTTCTTCAGAGATTCCAAAGACTAACATGATTTTCAAGAACTCATGCAAAAAAATACTGAAGTCTTTTTCACATTTCAGATGCTACCCTTGTTTTAAAAAATATATTATTATTTAATGTGTGTGTTTTTCCCCTGTGCTATATCTAAGGATTTTGCATGCATCCCATTGACAAGTGCTGCAGCCACAGATTTCTCTTCTGTTCTGTTCACAAACTAGTGTTTGACAGAACAGCAAAGAGGGGGAACACTACCTCTGTGCACAGCAGATTCGAGACACATGAGCAGGTAAGAGAGACGGGCTTCCCGAGTCCGAGGAAGATTCTCAACATTGCAACGGTATTTCTTCAGATCACTTTTGCAGGATTTGGCCAAGGAGTAGCTGACTTTGTAATCCTGGGCAATCAACTTTTGCCGAGTTGTCAATGCATCCCGACACTGAAGAGGGCAAGAAAGAATTCAGGTAAATTTACCATTCATCTTTGATTTATGTTGATGTATAACATAATTAAAACATAATTAAAATTCAGCACCGTCTCTTGGAGGACACTTACCTTTTCACTCATAGCATCTTCAAACTTGTGGTTAAATAGACACTTGTATATCCGGCCTTCGCCTGCTTGAGTCTGTGAAATAAAACAACAATTCATTTAGTAGGCCATTTTGGCCAGGTTATGTAATTAAAAAAATATTTATATTATAGTCACCTTCAAAGATCTGGTACATATGGTATTTCACCACATACTGTTCCAACAAACTCACGAAGACAGACTGAAACACAATTATTGTCAAAGCCAAGTCAAGTGGAGCTTATAGCTTCACCTACGCTCCATTTTATTAATGTATTTTTATTCACTGCACTTCCCCAGCTGCTTTTTAATCATAATCCTGTACTTTCTAGTTGACAAGTCTGTTGTTAGTTACAAGGTAGCATCCTCAGTTAAATGAAATCACGTTGAATTAAGTTTGTTATTTTGTAGTATTTTAGTTCCTCTTCCTCATCACTGGCCAGCTGCTTGCTTTCTCCACACGAAGCCTCAAAACTGTCCTGCTGCAGCTGTGCTTCAACCAAATCCCTCTCAGACAGCTGCTTGGAACCACTGACCAACTCTCCTCCTGACATGCCTGGAACTGGTTCATCCTCCCCTGAGCTGATATCTGAAGAGGTATCTGGGGAAGCATGGGGGGAGGGGGAGCCAGCCAGATTTGCTGAAGAGGGACATTTTGGCTAAAGAGGAGGAGAAAGCTAAGCAGAAACTTACTGTTTCACAAAAGTGTTCCCGATCATCTCGGCAGGCAAAATAGAGATGCCGATCCAGATGGAAGTCATCTGATGACAGCTCCGCCACTCGGAGAATTGCCTTCATGCAGGGCTCTGAGACTTTGATGCGATGCTCACTGTCCTCTGCCAATTTTACCAGCCCTTTCTCCAGGCAGGCCACCACTTCCCCTTGAGAATGGGCATCCTGCAGGGAGAGAAGGAAGTCATTCAACCGCAAAAAATATTTGGTTTAAATTACAGGTACTCCTTGAGTTATGATCATTCATTTAACCACCATTCATTTATATGATTCATTTAATGACTACAGTGATTTGCTTAACAACTATGGTATAAAATCATAAACTTGAGGACAACTCACTTAATCATCATATCATTAGCAATGGAAATTCTTGTTCCTACTGTGGTCAAAAGTTGAGAACTACCTGTTTTCAAAATGCAAAACTGAACACCCCCAATCCCCTTCAATCTAAGGGGATTCTCAGCCAATCAAAGACTAACTGAGTCTTGCCAAAAACATGTCCAGATAATAATACACATTCCATCAAGAAATAAGGAATCCAGCCATGATCTTCCAACTGGTTTCTTTACAGCAGCCTAGAGAATTTTCTTCTTCAGAGAAATGACACTTCTCCCCCAAATTAATGAATATGTAATCAAAACAGATTTTCAAAGAGATTACCTTTTCTCCCGGTCGAACACTGCCACACTTCAGGAGGTTAATATCAGTCCTGCAGTGATCCATAAATCCACAGATTAGGCGGTAATCGCTGAAAATTATGGCCGTCATTTTGGTGATGTACTGGTGACACTGATATTCGGTGATGTTTCCTCTGTGGTCCACCAAGCAGGATACCAAATAACCTTTTCCGACTGGTTCATCAGCGCACTCTTTGATCTGTTCGGAAAGATCCAGGATAAAATGAATAGATGCCTTGCCTAGATCTTGTGGAGAATTTAGTTTACCAAGTTCCCATCCATTAGTTTTTGGTACAGAGTAAAAACCCAGACTCCAATTCTCAGAGAAAAGGGCTAGAACAGATATTAAGGCCTCAGCAGTCTTGGATTCCCTGCAAGTATTCAGAGAATGAAATGTTAACATGTCAGTCTGTTTGCTCACTCTGAGAAGCCAAGATGGACCTCTAGAGTAAGGGTATCTACCCTTGGTAACTTTTAAGACTTGTGGACCTCAACTCTCAGAATTCCCCAGCCAGAGAGGCTGGGTGGGGAATTCTGGGCATTGAAGTCCACAAGTCTTAAAGTTGCCAAGGTCAGACACACCTCCCTTCAGGTTCCCTGAAGGAAGAAATGTTCAGGGGAGGGGAACCCATCTATTATACTGAAAGCTGAACACCAAGCTCTCTTACAATTCCTCTTTAATAAAAACTATGTGTTTGACTGTTCCTGCAGCAGGGAAATTAATCAAATAAAACTATTGGGTGCAGTTGGTGTTACTAATCCAAGTGCATTTTTAAAGAACTATTCACTAATTTTGCTATCAATGCCTGTCTCGCTACTAGATACAAGCTGCATAAAGTATTACCCAACTAAAATCCACAAATATCTTTTTTGTATTTTAGAAGCTTTTCGCTTAGAGTCAGTAAACAATATTTGAGTGGTATTTTATCTAATGAAAAATAGTCTATAAATAACTCAAGGGTGAAGGCATGAAATGGCAGAGAACTAAACAATCAGTGCCACCTTTGGTCAACTTACTAATCATATATTGACAGTTTTATGATTCAATATTTAATTTATTGGACCAAACAAAAGAGAATTAGCTCACTATAATATACAAATGATTGCCAGAAGACTGGTAATTGGGTGGGGCCATTTTAGCCTTCAAAACCAACCCTTGGCTCCATGCAAGATCCAAATTAAAGATTTTGTATATCCTCTTCCTTCAGCAGCTACTGGAGAACCTGGAGCACACTTAGAAACTTCATTTGTACAGTTGAGAGGATTGCAGCTGTGTGTGTAAGCTTCACCTAAATCCTGCTTTCCAGTTCTTCACACATTCAGTTACAGGCATGTGCAAAAGATGATACATCTTGGCTATGTCTGTGCCCAGGATTTTTCATTATGGTTTGTTGAATAATAGCAATAGCACTTATATCGCTTCACAGTGCTTTTACAGCCCTCTCTAAGCCTATCACCTGCCCCCCAATAATATGGGTCTCATTTTACTGACGTCGGAAGAATGGAAGGCCAGTTCAATAGTCAGAGGAAGAAACAGGGAGAACTTGTCCAAATGGATCAAGCAGTTAATATGGCAGTGCAACGTTTCTACTTTCTGACTTGCAAGATTCTATTAATGTAGACTTACAATAAAGTAGAGTTAGCTCATCTGGTCATGTGTCCTGTCTGGTTTATCTGGAACGGCTAACAACTTCTACCCTGTATCATACAGGATATGCTTTCAAAATCCTGATCCAAGGTCTGGAGCTGGTGAAAGTGTGAATGCAGTGACACTGGCTGAATTTGCAGCTATACCAGACAGAGTTGGCAGGGAAAATGGAGTTTATAAATTAATTCCTTATCTATCAACATCTTCTATCCCTGTCAATCAACTCAGAACTCTCTCAGGACTCACACTGCAAATTACTAATAAGCAAACCCAGTTAGTATTTTTCTCAGGCTTTCGTGCTTAAGATTAGCTAAGCTCCTCCTGTTTGTCAGTTGTTCACTGACTCTTGCTGGCTCAGCTTGGTCATCAGCTTGGCTTTCATTTGGGAAGTTGCTTCTTGTTTGGAGATCTCTTGACTGTCACCCTCCCAAGTACCACGTGGCTTTCTCCAGTTTCTCCATTCTGCACGACTCTTTCACAATCAGTGAGGAAGCGTGTCTCAATCCCATGCTCAGGGTTTGCAGACAGCACTAGAACCCAGTGGCACCACCAAGAGGGTCCTCTGGAAGTGACCACTCAATCATGCTGCCCAGAGGACACCTGATCAGCCTAGTCAGGCAGCCCCAGTGTCCCCAAAACCTGCCACTGTTTTGCACTCCAAAGTCTGGAGAGTCATTACTGGAGTACTGGACTAAAAATAATAGTAAATAAAATTAGTGATTCGTGGAATATTATATGTGTCCGGGGAATATCATTTTCTTCCCAACTTTGCACCTTTCCCAATTTGTGGCCAAGGTTTTCCAAAAACAGAGGGTTTGCTTCATAGAGCATCATGGGGCTTATCTGTTCCCTTATTCTGTTGCATGTTATGCTGCTTAAACATAACTGCTTGTCTGTCCCCAACTTTTCATTCTGATTGTGCCTTTAGTGACAATTTGACTATTTTATACCTTGAATTGTCTAAAAGCTAATTCGTGAAAAAGGTATGTACAAGTATGGAAAATAATAATCATACTGCCAAGCTCAGAAAGACGCCTCACACCTCCCAGATTCCATCATACTGGGGTCAGTGGCACCACATACTTCAATTGGAGCAATTGGAAGCTTTGCACTGATTCCAATTCTCCTTTCAGGAGAGAAGTTCCCTACTTTCCCAAGAAGATTATTCAAGGTAGTTGCAATTCCAAAATTAAAAGCAAATCAAAATCAGCACAGAATTCCTGCATCATCAGTGGCATAGCACCAGATGTTCCCAGTTATCCACTCAAAGCACCGTGCCAAAGAAGGGCAGTTTGTAAACAGTGCCAGCTGGAAAACCTGGTATGGTTCATGGAGATATTTTTAAAAACATGATCTCACAACTGCCTCCTCTGAAGTAGTCAGAACATTTTCTTAGCAAGCCCTCATTATCTCCAACACTTAAATAAACATTATCAATCCAGATAGGGACCAAGAGAGAAAAGGTGCAGCCTACGGATGGAATACTAATGTTCCAGGAAGAAATTTCAGCTCTTTCCCTTTCTCCTTGCAGTTTGCATTTAATCCTCTATTAAAGTCTGTTAAGGAAGATCTTTGTCATTCTTTGGCTCAGATTTTGGGTCTACGACAATTTGCCACGGCCAACTCACCATAGTCAACTCGCAACGGCCAAGTCACCCTAGGAGAAGGGTTATTATACTAATATCAAAGAAATGGTGGAATAAAATAATTAAAGAAAGGATGCCAAAGGAGAAACAAAATGTGATGAGAATGACAAAAAATAAAATATTTTTAAAATTACTTTAAATAATTAAGTTGAATTGTTGAATTGTTCTGTGGTGAGTCGGCTGTGGCAAGTTATCCTATTCCATCAGATTCTGAGGCTCCAGGGCCACCCATACTGGTCCTGCTGTTGGAAGATGTTGTGCTTGTTAAACTGGACACTGGATTCCCCCCATGACCGTCTTCGGGCTGCCCGTGGAACTAATCCAAGGAAAAGTACAGTACCTCCTAAAGCAGAGCTTCTCAATCTTGACTCCTCCTAAAATGGTAAACAAATTGTGCAACTCCCACTCCCTCCATCCCAAATGCATAAAATTAATTGCATTCACTGAGGTACGGTTGGACAAGAAATAAATGCACCGTACTTAATGATGCGGATCCTGAATCACAGTTTGAGAAAGGAGCTTGAAGCCACCATTACTTTTTAATGCATTGCTCTCATATTTTTCATAACTAGGAAAAAGCATAGACTAAATCTGGAATGGAGATTAGTGGGTTTTTTTTTAATGTTTCAAATTCTATAAAAAACAAAATCAATTCAGAAGATATTTATACTTTCTGGAAGAATAACTCAGTGTTTTCACGTTTTACTCTACATTTTTCAGAAAGGGGTAGTCAGGTTCCAGCCTACGCCTACCCCCTCCAAAATCAAATTACCTCTGATATAGTAGATTTGCAAACTTCTCTAGCCACCGATTCAAATTTTGGATCTGTAGTCAGGTTCAATTTGTAGTTCCACAGCAGCTAAAGGGAAAACAAGAAACAAAAGATAAAGTAACTTTTAAAAATGCTCCTTTGGAATCTTTTTTAAAGCAATAGCTCAATTGGATCTAAAATAAATCTGACATTTTCCCTCTGATATCAGGACTTCAATTTAGATTAATTTATTTAAAACATTTATATTGCCGCCAACTCTGGGTGACTGCCAAAATGTATAAAACAACATTTTCTGCACATCACATTAATCTCTGCATTCTGATCTTTAAAAATCAGGCAGCATGTAGATCAGATTTTTTTTTCTGAAGATAAATGAAAGTTATACTTTGTCTCTACATGACAGAAAGAATCCAAAAGCAAAGAAAGGGTAAACTGAATCAAGTCTTAAGCTTTTCTATTAATGACCATATTGACAACTATTCCATCTTACTACCATGTCCATAGAGCACACCACTCACCAGTGTATAAGTATTTTTCAAATCTGGCCACTTGAAGATGTGTAGATTTCAACTCCCAGAATTCCCCAGCCAGCCACGTTAGCTGGGGTCTCTGGGAGTGGAGGTCCACACATCTTAAAATAGCCAAGGTGGAGAAACATTGGTGTGTGTATATATATATTTTCATTCCTTTTTCTTGGTGTGCTTTTTTTAACAGGTTTTACTATTATCAGCCACTGAGTAATCGTTGAAGGCAAGTAAATGGCAATTAGCATAGAACTTTTAGGGGCACAATTTGATACAAATGATAAAAGAGAGGCAAGGAGGGGGTACTGGACACGTGAATCTACTAATTAAAATTCACACCAACTAATAATGCAGCTAGATAGAGGCTGGCTCCAAAAAGCTCAGTATTATGTGATGAGAACTGTTATTCTATCCCCTTGAGTCCTTATTTTCAGCATAATGCAGCTTTCTCTTGCCCTTGAAAGGGATGTGTTTCTCTCTGTTTGTGTGTGCGTCCACGCACCTGCTTTGCTTTAGTTTTCCATCCAAGGAAACTGGGTGCAATGTAAATGCAGTGCCAGTTACCCATCCACCTGATTTTCTTTGAAGTTCATTGAAACCACCAGGGGAGTAATTAAGATGGCATGCAATTGGAACAATGCTAGAATTGCATTTTGCATATGCACCCCGTAAGAGAGCTGTTGGTGAACTGGTTGCAAAGAGGAGCAATAGATCAGGGCAGCAAAAGGAGAAAAGACTAAACAATGAGCTGACTGAACAGAAACTGTTTTACAGCACAAACTAAGTCAGTGCTACATTCAGGGAGATTTATTTGGTTGCATTCCTCTCAAAAGCTTAAAGGAAAACGACCGATTGACTGTACGCATTGGAAAGTTTTGCCTTTCAAGCCCAATGCCTTTCAAACAAGCATTACCCAACAAACAGAATTCTGACTTGTCTGCATAGGCAGCCATAGAAAAGTAAAGAAAGGTGAGCCTTTTCCATTTGGATGGGTTAGTCAGGACCCCATGGATTTCTCCCCTTTTGTCAAAACAAATGTGCTCAGTGCTCCTGAAACATGTGCCAAATCTTTTTTCAAAAAGCACACTTACGTGGTTGCAGTCAGATGAGATTTCATTATCCGGCTAGAAACAGAAAAGAAAAAAAAAACTGTATTAATTCAGAGGTCAGGGTTCCCTGCTTTCCTTCCCCACAAATAAGCCCATGCCATTGTCTCAAAGTAATGTGCACGATCAGACTAACCTTGCAAACCGCTCTGCAAAGGTGAGCAGCCCGCAGATTAAATGCCGGTTTATCTTGTCTAATCAACTGCTACCACCAAGGAATTTGCTTCAACTCAAAGGCATCAACTACAGTCGTGGCCAAAATGGTGGAAACCTTTTGGGAAAAGTGTGCAGTAGAAATGCCACCTTTGGTTAAGTTTCCACCCATTTTTCTTCTCATTTCTTTATAACCATAGCCTTGTTCACTTCATAATGCTATTTTACATCGCTTTCTGGACGACCGGTCAACTCTCTGCACCGTGACTTTAATTTTATTAAAGCAAGCTCACTCAATGAAAGAACACAAAAAAAAAAAAACCCAGCCAACTTGATAGCGATCCCATAACACACTGACAAATGTCCTCCTCTCAGCTTCAATACAGGACACCAATCACTGGATCCTACCGTGATCTGATTGGCTCATGGCCAAAACAAGATGGCACCCGATTGGTTCTCTAAACACTCATCCCCATTGGCTACAATCAGAGGAAGGAAAGCTACCTGAGATCCACCTACGCAAGTTGTGCTTCCCTTTTCTGGTTATTTGGCTATAATAGTTTCTTGGAAGGAAGCGAGTAGGCAATGAAGAAATCATCCTCTGTCCTATGAGTTTGAACTTTGAAGCTTCACAGGGGAGCCAGTTTGGTCTAATGGTTACAGCACCAGACTAGAAAATGGAAGATGGTAAGTTCCAGTCCCACCCTGGACACAAAAGTCAGCTGAATGACTTTGAACCAGCTACTCTTTCAGGCCAACCCACCACACAGGGTTGTTCTGGTGGGGAAAACTGAAGGAAGGTGTATTAGCCATGTTAAATCCATTCACTGAATGTATTTAAAACAAAAGCACACAACTTTTTCTGTCCACAGAGCTTTTGGATGACCAAAATCTAAGATCTGCAATCCAAGAAATAAAGTCTAGGACAAAAACTACTTAAATGTGAGTCCTATCCGGGCTTGTATTTAATCAGGTCACCTTTCACTTAAACATTTTAATTTGTTAGCCATCTGTATATCTCAGAATCCATACAGTTGCTCCATGACCTCTCCTGGGACAATGGCCACAATTCTAGCAAAAAGAGAAATATTTTATATTTCCTTTTACTTTTCTAAATCCAGATTAGGGGGGGCTTTATATAGTCTTTCAATAAGATCCACATCCCAGCAAACAGGATGTGATATTTACACAAGCAAAGTAGTTCGCGTCTCCATAAACTATTCTGCCACCGCTTATTAAATATAGTTTGTGAGCAAAAGGAAGTGCCGTTCTAAACTTGGACAGACCTACTGAATGATAGCTCTCTTCTGGCACTTGACGAGTCCCTCCTTCCCACTCTGATACACATTTTGAACTGTGGACCAAACTGGCTTCCAACAGCAATCTAGGAAAAAGATGTCCTAGGTAACAAGAATGAAAAGTACTGGCAGTGCTGCTGCAGCCACCTTGAACTGCAATAAAAATTGGCTTCTGTTCGTAAGAATGACCTACGGAGGATCTCTCCAGAACAGTCAATCTGCTTCCTGAAATTGCCAACACTTCCAGAGTATCCAAGGCTAGTAATTTAGTTCACTTTTTAGTAGGCTGTAATAGCAGGCTTCAGGGCTTTCTAAAATGGTTAAAGATGTTGGTATCTCCTTCCAGATACTTAGAAAAGCAAGACTTGCTGTAAACCACGCAAGCTAAATGCATTTCATGTCTTAACAGAAAAAGAAGTTGCTACGGCTGAGCTGATAATTTCATTTATTTTACAATATTTATAGCCCACTCTAATCCTAGCCAATCTGGGCAGGGTGAAACACTGTTCAAAATTGGGAGGGGGGGAGAGTCCACCGAGAGTCCAGCTTTTTACCCCCCTCTTGAAAAACAAAACACCAATTCTCAATGAGTACGGGATCTGAGGATAGAGTAGGTCCAAGCGACATTTCTATAAATGGAAAGGGCGGGGAAAAGAGCAAGCAGAACTTAGCCTTGGAGAAGCTAAGACCGAATGTCCATCGTTAATTATTGAATAGAAAGAACACTTTCACCACCGCAGACTGTAAAGGATCCCCTTCTGGGATTGTTTTCATGAAGTTCCTGCCACTTAAGCGCTTGCATTTGCTTAAGTGGCAGGAATGATAATGTCTCTTCTGAAGATGCAAAGAGAAATGTTTTCTTTTCATAAATTCCTGAATTTATGTAAATTTAAAGTCAAAGTAAAGTAAAAGAACTCCATGATGCAGAATAAGAACAGTAAAATTGCGCTCCTACCACGGACGCCAAATACTTCCACGTATGTTTTCACATGTTGATTATACTGTAACGTACTCTTCATTTTTTTTTTCAATTCACCTACAGCCGTGGTTAAGAAGAGAAACGCTTCTGTGTTGTTTAAATAATGTTTTGGTTATTTGTTGAGGAAAGACTTGTCAAAACAGATAAGCTTATTGCTACACATAAAAACCTCTTTAGTGATTAAAGTGATAGTTTCCCTATCGCTACAAGAGCCAGTTTGCTGCCTAATAGTATGCCATGCGTGTCTCTGCTTTGGTACCAAATAAAATTATTCTAGTATCGCCTCGAAACATCTGAGCTAACAATTGCTGCATAATGTACACACCTACCTTCTGAAATTGAAATCTACATCAATCACAGAAAAATAATTATTCATTAAGGTTGTATCAGGCAAGAATACTTTTTTTTACTAAGTAGACGATTAAATAGAATCCTTCCGACAGTGACTTAAATCACTAACATTGAGTTTTCCTGAACAGGGCTTTAAGCCATGATCTCAATCAATTTTGCTTAAATTAAGTCTTTCTCCCATAGGATAATGCCCAAATGCCAACACGGCTAAGCTCTTCTGAAAAGCTGGCATTGGATGGGATGGTTCTCCTTCTCACAAGACACCTAATAATGAATTGTAAGGAAAAGAACACTTCCTGCTTGCCTTTCTGAAGAAACAGACAAGACAAAATGTTATCAAGGAAAAAAGAAGAAACTGTAAGTTATATATTTTTAGTTTGGTTCCCCCACTGTGCCAAACGCACAGGAAGTAAGCTGACAAATGAAGGGGAAGAAAGCTCAGAAGACCGAGGTTGAGACAATGAGGCCTTAACTGAATCTGAAACGCTATCACTTTCAGCAGTTTTTGTTTTTTATTTTTAAAAAAAGCTTGCTATCATTTTCATAGGCTTCTAAAAACTGGTTTCCAGTGCCAAGGCAAGTATAGAAATACTGATTTATCTCTAAACTGATGTCTTAACAATTTCACGTAAAAGGAAACATTACAAGCCATTTCATTTTTTTTCCAGAACTTCCCTGCCACCCAAAAAAAGGCCAGGGGGGGAGAGAGACAGACTACAAATAACAGAATGACAATCAATGTCGTAAGGCGCTACTGAGGCCCTGAAGTCCAATCCTTTGTTCAGGCATGAACCACATCAAAGCATCCCCCACAGATTGCTGTCCAGCCTCTGCCTAAATATGCCCAGCAAAGGTGGTCAACCTCTGGCTAAGTGGCATCTTGTGTTTCTGTTTAGTTTTTTTCACCCCAGCCCAGTTTCGAGGTCTGGTACTCTGCCAGTGGGTACTGGACGGCTAGTTAATGCCCAAATAATGGAACATGGCATTAACATCTCTCCATTTCTATCCCACTATTTGCAATGTTTTTTCTCTTTGTATTATTTTATGGTACTGTTTGTCATATTTAACCATCACCCCCATACATATCATTTGAATACAGTGGTATTTCTAAACTGCTTACTGGCGATTATTAGCATTCTGATGGTTAGATAACCTAAACCCTTTAAAGATGAAGAAAAAATAGACACACCAGTATTAACTATGATTTCACAACTAAAGCTAAGCCCTCAGTTGCAATTTAACTCAGCTGCATAACTAGGCCCATATTGATCACCTCTATGTTAATCATTTATCTGCAGGAAGTAAGAACAGCCAACTTTCTGCTCATACATTACAAAAATATCTTTCTGCATGATTGCCCAGGGAGAATTACTGTTTCTTCTTGGGGTCCCGAATACCTGTTTGCAAGCACTATTTCTCCACCAAACAAGCCCCAACCTTTCTGAAGCATTTACATTGGGTGCCTTCACACAAATAGAGTGAGCCCATAGCAAGACTCCTTTTGGAAAATATCTAGGAATTCAGGTTATCTAAAGTGCTAGGGCAGGGGTCTTCAAACTTGGCCCTTTTATGACTTGTGGACTTCAACTCGCAGAATTCCTCAGCCAGGAATTGAAGAATTGGGAGCTCAAGTCCACAAGTCGTAAAAGGGCCAAGTTTGAAGACCCCTGTGCTAGGGAGAAGCAATTGCCAAAAGCTCCTCATCCTGTTGCAGCCATTACAACGTCCTCTTAGTTGTTTCAGGATCTGCAGACAGTATTGGAAGGCTCTCTTCCATTTAAGACTGAGAATCCAAGAAATCCACCCTGTCTATTCCAAGCTGTTTAGTCAGAACGAGGGAACGACATTTTTCAGCTGTTCTTCCCAGGTTTGGGGGGGTCACCTTTGCAAGAATATCATATCTGCATAAATCACAATAACTTTAGACAGGCGTTTGTTTGTTTTTTTAAAGAAGGTACCTTATTGCCCTTTTTAAAAAATGTAACCATACTGGTTTTCATAAATATACAAATAAAGTGAGGTTTGAAGATTAGCTCCCCCCTTTATTTTACTTATGTGCTGCAGTGATCCAATATCTTTGTAACTGAGTGGCATGTAAATTGTATAAACAAACAGAAAAATGAAACTTAAAAATACAATTCGGTTACATCAAACCAAACTATACATTAAGGAAAAAGAAAAGCTTAATGCACAAAAACATTTAACATATAGTCTGTTTAAAAAAATGGAAAAATTAATAGTCAGAAAAAAGAAGAAAAAAAGGGTCCGATCTGTGCATTAGCAGGAAAGCAGAGTTCGGTTATAACTTCAAGGGGGTTTTGGTTTTCCCTTCCCTTCCCTGTTGCCTTGTGGTTTGCTGAGCTGTTGTCAGCTGAAGCAGCTTATTCTTTGTTTTTGCAAGCCATATCAAGAGTGTGATAAGGCTTGCAAACATTTCAGCCATGATGGCTTTTTAAATAGTCCTAAGAAACACAATCTGCCTCACAAAACAAGCAATAAAATGTGGTGATTCTGGTCAATGTGAGGAAAGAAAATTTTAAATTGTAATTGTAAGTCTGTTTGGCTAGTTGCTGCCGCACAGTGACACACCACAGGTCCCTGTGCATAATTAAACTATGAGGAAGGCTTGCAAGGCAACTGATGCCAAGCCCAGAAGCACTGAGAGAATTTGGGGAAGGGGATCAGTACTTTCAGACAGCCTGGACTAAATGTCAACCTTTGGGGACCAGTTATAGCAGGTAAAAAAAAAAAAAAAAAGGCAACAAGGGCTTAATTAATACAGGTTACAATTTTGGAATCTTTTCAGACAAAAACATCCAATTTAAGCACACTGATACATTTAAAAATATGACTTGAACCGTACTTTAGTTCAAATGCATGAAAAAATATCACGAGCTAGTTGCCTAACAGAGACACATCCTCAGTTACGCTCAATCTAACAACTTGTGTGGCTCAAACTGACTTTTATCAAAGGAAATTGTACGTTTTTAATGTAGGTGTGACCGAAACCAGAAGATTTGGGGTTAGAATTTCCTAATCTTTAGCCAGCACTGAAGATCACCTGGTTTTGAGATTTGTACAAGTCCTGTAGACTTAGTCAGCAGGATATAAACTAATTCAAAATCATTATAACCTCCCTTATCTTTGAAAATCCAAGGCAATCGTACAAAACCAAATACAATAAAAAAGCAATATAAAGAGTAACACTTCCTCCCAAAATAACAAGTACGGTGAATAATAGAATTATATTAGAGGTGTCCAGGAGTGTACAAGTATAATAAGGCCAATAAGTTGGCCAGATCAATAATCTACAGGATAAAGCAGTTTTCTGTACTTTCAGCATTCTCCACTGCTCAGCTATGATATCAAGAGTCAGTGTCTACAAACAATGCAATTTCTGATATGAACTAAATATTGTCCATTTCATTTTCATTCACATTTTAGGCATTTGCTGAAAGGTAACGATCCAAAAGTAATACCAAGGGCCAGCATTCAAGGGATTTGAATGAAGCATGCACAAAATAGAGAAAAAGAAAAACACTTATTGAAAGATAGTTCGTCTTGAGCCCTAACTTTTAACTATATATTTAAAATCTTCCTTCTTGTGAGTGGATAAACCAAGCATCAATCTCTCTCCTCAGGACCTCAGCATTCAAAAATGGCTTTTGCCTCTCAGTACCATCTTGTGCTCACAGTCAATATAGCAAGTTTTTTTTTTCTTTATCCAGCAGATGAATGCTCGTACCCGGGTGGCTCTTAGCACACATTTATCTGTCCCCAAATATGCGGGCTTAGCCTCTGACTCACCAGGACAATGTTATGCAGATTGCTGATTTGGTTCAGATGCAAAAATAGTCCTGGAGCGGCTTAGAAACATGGAGAGAATCCAGACTAGTGTCCAGCTGTCACTGCTCTCATACTTCCTACTGAATATTCATTGTTTTAGTGGGAAATTCAATCATCACAATGTGGGTTTAACCAAAGATGTATCGATCAATGATAAATTGTAGTTAGGATGGAGAAAAGAAAAGGATGAAAATAGATTCACTTTTGTTTTATTCTCCAATGCTTAGTTACTATAAATGAAATAAATAGAGGTAGTTCTCGATTTACAACCACAATTGAGCCCAATATTTAAGTTGCTAAGTGAGAAACAAGATGGTAGAGGACAGGAAGGCCTGGAGGAACGTTGTCCATGGGGTCACGATGGATCAGATACGACTTCGCAACTAACAACAACAAAGTGAGAAATTAGTTAAGTGAATTTTGCCCCGTTTTACGATGTTTCTTGCCACATTTGTTAAGCGAATCACTCCAGTGATTAAATTAGTAACACCATTGTTAAGTGAATCCGCTTTCCCATTGATTTTGCTTGTCAGAAGATCACAAAAGGTGACGTGACCCCAGGACACTGCAGCCGTCATAAATATGAGTCAGTTGCCAAGTGTCTGAATGTTGATCATGTGACCCTGGGGATGCTGCAATGGTGTGAAAAATAGTCCTAAGTCACTTTTTTCAGTGCCGTTGTAACTTTGAGCGGTGACTAAATGACTTGCTGTAAGTCGAGGACAACCTGCATCTTGTTTTGATCCTTGACCGAAATCACAGTGCAAGGTACTCTCAACAACAGCCCTTTAAAATCAAACACTGAGAAAGGTAAATACCCGCATAGCACACTGTGTGTCCAAAACCATTTGTGAGTGGTTCTAGGAGAAAGAAACAATATATTTTGTTCTGGTTTAAAATAAATTCTGGCAAGAATTTAATCCGGGGATGAAATGAAAACTCTGGGTCCAAGAGCAAGCGCAAAACCGCAAAAGGCTCCCACCAGGGAAGAGCCGAGCCTCTGCTCTTATTCCTCTCACCCAGCAACACTTGAGGCTGAAGCTAAGCCTCTCCTGGACTCAGGTCCACAACGGACTGAGCAGCAAAGCACAGCAGCCACTTCAGGGCTTCTGAGCTAACGTAAGAACGTTTCACACGGAGAAGTTGCCCTTTCCATAGAACAGTGTTTCCCAAACTTGACCATTTTAAGGCATGAGGACTTCAACTCCCAGAATTCCACAGCCAGCAACGCTGGCTGTGGAATTCTAGGAGTTGAAGTCCACATGCCTTAAAATGGTCAAGTTTGGGAAACACTGCCATAGAAGATGGAACTCCACAAAGGATCCGCCAGTGAACTGTGGCAAGCAAAACAAAAATTCATTTTTGTACACTGGTCGTCAACAAACACAAGATGACAGTAAAAGCCTGGAAACTCTGTCCAATGCTTACCAACAGCACTGTTTCCGGGATGGCTGGAGTAATGAGATTAAAGGAAACTGGAAATTTTCCCAAAACTGCAGTTCTCCCATTTTTTGCAATAAACTCCCTCTACTTCCAGTAAACCTAAAGTTATGTACCAGATGAATGAGAAATAATGGATACAATTGCAGGCAGAGACTTGAATCATTTTGCAAAACTTTTCTACATACTTCATCTCTTTCAGAAGAATACTTGATCAGCTCTAAAATCTTTAGAAAGTTTATTACATAAGCAAAAAAAAAAAAAAAGCCCCTCTCAATTATGCAGAACTTAGGTAAAAGCTGCAACTAGCTTCTCAAAATTTTAAGATATTGTTTAGGAGGAATATGAGAAACCGGCTGATAAACGCAGGTGGAAATATTCAGCAGACAGAAGCACAAAGAATTTGCTAGCTCTGGAATTGCTCTTTGAAGGAAAAAATTAAAGCCTATTTCATAGCTGAACACCACACTGCAGCCCAAAAGATACATTATTGACAATTCTGTGCTTTTTGATACAGATTTAGCTGTTATTCAAAGAGAAGCAGAAAGGAAATTAAGCAATTGTGCATCCAGCAAAAGCCTTTTCTCAACCACCAGATCACAACCTCACATTCTCTGCATCCTCATTTTAATTTGAAAGTTTTGCTTAAATCGGAAATATTTTATGCTCTACCAGGCCAAAATCCCATGCAAATTGTAGCCACTAATTTTTTTGGCCAAACAGGCAGGGACTATTAGTTAAAACTCTGTTAACAAGAATTAAGTCCAAGACTTCCAAAAACTTACTACACATTTAATTTCTGTGGACCATCTTCTCTATATACAGACATATAATGACAAGTGTGACATCTCTTTTTTTAAAAGTGCTATGAGGGCATGGTGGAAGAAGCATGGATGGATTGCAAGGATAGGAAGGTATGTACAGTTAATAACTTTGATGTAAACTAGATTTAGCAGCCCATCTTTTTCTTAAGGTTAGTTTGCTTATTATTTCAAACAGTCTTTCTGCACTTTGCATAACATTGCCTACCCCAAAAGGGAACAGCACGATAGTTACAGAACATGTACATATATATGTAGGCATGACGCCAGTGTCTTTCTGTACTTAAACAAAGAAAATATCAACCTTTACTTTCATTCTATTTCCTCAAAGTGCCAGACTCTCTGACCTTAGTGCTTGCTTCCCCTGCCAGGTCTGGAAAGCAAGAGCAGACACCCCTGCATTGCAAGGCTGATTCAGTGAATACTCTTGTAAGACAGGTATTCAAAAACCAAATATGCAAACATCATGGAAGCGCTGAAGCTAGCCTGGAATAAAACTGCTCAAGCACTCAAGGCTCAGCAGTTAAAACACAAGCGTGACTCATCACAGCAGCTATTTATTGCACTCTGGTTACAAAAATGCAGAGGTAGAGATGATCTGTTTAACTAAGTTTCTCTAAAAAGGAGAGGGGGGAGGCATCCTGTTTGAGGCCACCTTCCGGCCTGATCTGAATCTCTGTAAAAGGCAGATCTGGGAAGCATCAGCCATCTTGGTCTGAGAGCTGACAGCTCCAGCAGGATTGCACACATCTTGTTCAGGCTCTGCTGGAAATAGGTAACTACCTGTTTACTACATTTTTATTGGGAGGTACTCATTAATGAGCCTTAACTAATGAGCTAAACAGCTGTACTAACTGCTTAATGACTGAAACTATTCTAGAGATATTGCTGAAGAACTCCAGGTGCCATCTGCTCAGTGCAATTTCCAGGCAGACAGTAAATGATAATGTCTGTCTGATTACAAAGTGCACAAGAAAGCCAATTTTTTTTTTAAAAAAAGCAAATAAACCCACAAACCATTTTGAACCAGCACTCTTTGTGCAACAAATAAACAAAATGTCAGCTCTAAAAGAACAATGGGGACTCATGCGAGGATTTTCAAAACTCTCTACACAGCTGAAAGTATAAGTGCGATATGTAAAG